TGAGCCACAGGATAATGTGATCGGCACAATCCATTGCCCATTGCCTTGGGAACCGCTTGAGTAGAATTGTGTCTGCCACAGATTAATTTATTTATTAGATCATTGATTAGGTCATTGTTCATGCCATAGATAATCAAACAACTTTGAAAGAAGCAAACATAAGAAAACCTGATCAAACTCCAATTTCTGATCTTTGACTTTGACAGAAATAACCGGGTAACCTTTTTGCTGTGTCCATGAATTCATTAGCTTGTTTACAGGTTCACCAGATCCCTCCTCAAGGGCAGCCCACAAATCTTCTGTCTTTGCATTTGAGTAAGCATGTTTTTTTATATATGAAGCAAGTGACCGCTGGATGCATTAAAAAGTAGCAGGAAATTAACTCTGTAATCTTTTTATATCATAGAAAATAAGATAGTTGATCCTTCAACCCTCAAGCACACTCGCTGACAAATCAAAGGACCTACCTGGAAAACTTCAGCACCTAGATAGCTTTGTAGCATCCGAATAACAGAAGCACCTTTTCTATAACTTATCGCATCAAATATTTCATCAACCTCAGCAGCATGATTGATCTCCACCTGGCCAAAAGGAAAAACATTAAAGCATAATATACCAGAAAGACATATTTATATATACTAATACCCTCCAATGAGTAACGCCTTGAAAACTATAGTGGTGATATTACTATTTAAAGCCTTCTATGCAGATGATCCAGATTTGATGCCAGGATACAGCAAAATTTAGGACAGAATTAAAATGAAACCCATGAAAGACCAAGTCCCCAAAGAAGTACCTCAATGGGGTGAGATTCTTCAAGCCCATCCAGCTTAAGACCATCCGTAAGTTCATCAAGAAACTGAGTCCATATTTTCCACTCTGGGAACAAGCTATCAGTAGCCAAATAGCTCACCTAATGACATTAAAATACTTATAAGTACAACGGCATGGAAAATAACAAGTATAACAATGACAAGAACTACGATGTGATACCCATGTTGCAAATCCCTCATTCAGCCATAAATGTGTCCACCATTCCATTGTTACAAGATTGCCAAACCACTGGTGTGCCAATTCATGTGCCACGACAGTCGCGACCTTTTACCAAAACCAAATAAAGTGATTAAACATATCATTGGGTGCAAAAATTATACATGCCTACCATATCAAACCAAGATAACTCTGAAAGCTAAGGTGACATTCAGGATGCCCATGTTACCCTTTGCTTGTTGACAGCTGCAGAATGTTGTTCATCAAAAAGCAAAGCTGTTTCTCGGTATGTAACTAAACCATAGTTCTCCATGGCACCAGCAGAGAAATCAGGTATTGCGACCATATCCAATTTGGGCAAAGGGTATGGCACAGCAAAGTAGCTGCAGAACTTGTTGTCAATGATTATATATTGAATAATGCAGCATAAGTGCGGAAGGGGGAAATCTAGAGAAACTGCCAATTTTTGTTGATAACATGCATCAAGTGTATATGCCAATTTGAATATGAATGATCAGTAACTTTTGAACATACTCTTTGTACAATTCAAGTGTCTTGACAGCAACGTGCAAAGCAAATTTCCCTTGGTCTGCCTTACCAACTTGACAATATACCCGCACTTTGACTCCTGTAACGACATTAAAATGTGACATCATTAAGAAAAGGGTTGTACAGTTGTACTGACATACACATGAAAACTAGGGATATTGTATAGGAGTTTACCATCAGAAGTATGATCTTCAACATAATCAAACAATCCGACAACAACGGCCACCAAATATGTAGACATAATCGGTGTTTCCACATATGAAACTGTCTTCAGATGTCCGTTAACTTTTTCTTCTTCAATCGGCATGTTGGAAAGGGCTACTAGTTCTGACGGAACACCATCAAGTGTAATCTTGAATGTAGCCTGCCAACCAAATAGCCAGTAAGCCATAAACTCTAGATTTGAAAAATTTAACCAGAACGGGAAGATTGATTTCTCATCTATACTACCATCATAAACAACAGATCTCTTTTTTTCCTAGTTTCAAAAATACATTCAGAACTACGCATATCCAGAATGATGTGAACAAAATCACTTGATAATGATGAAATCAACATCTTAAGTCAACTGTGTGCGAGAGAGAGAGAGAGAGAGAGAGAGAGGGAGAGAGAGAGTAACCTTGCAAGCAGGTTCATCCCAACATGGAAAGCACCGCCTGGCATCAACCGGTTCAAACTGTGTAACTGCCATATTTTTCTTCTCACCGTTCTGCTCATATGTACTTCACAAAACAAATCAAATTTTAGACATATCTATACCATTGATATCTTATAATATCGAAAAAAACAAATGACAATGGACTGCCTAAAAATGTTGGCATTCCAAAATTACCTTCTATAGAACCCCTTCATCTTGTCATTCAAAATTCCCTCAAACGCAATAGCCAAAACTCCATACCCAATCCGAAGCATCTCTCCAAACTCCAAAATCAAAATCCCATCCTCTTCGAACGTCTCAGCTTTCGAAGGCTTGAACACCTGCTCAAACGTTCATTTACTCATTCAGTAAATATCTGACCAGCCAAACAAGGCAGTAAAGTCGATAATTTTACAATCATTCTATCAATTGCAATCTGTTCACTTGCTCACAATTAACAAATCAGAAACAGAACAGTAATTAAACCAAAATTAAAACTAATTAACGATTGATTAAGTCGCTTTAGATTTACTAAACGAGTATAATGAACAGATCAACCTAAAAACAATGAAATTTCATCAGCCAAACTCCTCAACTCTACTTTTTTGTAGTTCTACAATTTTTGAAAAGAAAATGCGTATCGATCAGAGATTACCTTGGACGAGCCTCCGTGAGTGAAAGAGACGGAACCGGCGTTGACGGTGAGCTCGGCGGCATTGAGGACGACGAATTTCGTATCGGCGACGATATCGAGGTCGATGGCGACGGAGCCGCCGAATTTGCAGGCGGCGAGGTCAGGCTTCAGCTTCACGTCGTAACGTTTCGGGACGGCGAATTTCGGAAGCCGGGGCTGGCCTTTGAACTGCTCCATAGCAAGCGACGACGAGTGTGATACTTGCGTGGGGTGAGGTTGTTTCCGAGTTCAGATTTCGAATGCGTGCGAGTGGGACTCATCAGTTCTCACGACTTTATAACGCGTAACGTACGGTTCTTTTCTGACAAATTTTACACGTGGACTTTTTTTTTTTTTTTTTATATTTCTTGTGCATCGCCACCATCCACATTTCGAACAACGAGAATGTTAGAAAGATTATATATTTAAATTATATATGGTAAAGATAATGCTAGCTAGGGACCAAAATTTTAGATTACAAAACGTGGATATTAATGACTAAAGTATTACTTAAATGCTTAATTAACGAGTTTATTTTCTATTAGTAACACATTATATAATTTGTAAATGTGATATGAATAGATGGTATCTTTAACATTTTATTTGAGATAAATTTGTCATGTATTTAAGTAGGTACTTCACGTGTCATAAAACATATAGAGGACACTCAAAATATATCATTTCCATCACTTGTATTGTAACATGTGAAACATTTGTTGAAAACCCAATATATTGAAAAATCTCTCCACATCTTGGTTGAGACTTCATATATATATATTTTACAATATGATCCGCAATTAATTTAGGACGGATTACATTTTACACTTCTTAAATTTGAGATGATTTTTAAGGTGAGATATGATATTTTTAATTTTTTTTTACATAGCACTTCTAAAGTTTTGAAATGTATTAATTCACACATTTTGCCTCTTTTAATACCTATCATACATTAAATTGATGAGTTTTTTTTTGTTGGCTTTGTCACGGAAATACAGCTTACACGTTAGTTTATATAAGAATTTCAAGCCCACCACATCAAAAATTACATAAACAATTAACAATAAACTCGACCAAAATATAAATTGATACAATTTTAATACTGATGAAAAAAAAAAAAAATTATGGCTCATTTTGAAATCACCTCCAACCTCGATATTGGTGGTGAATTGTTGTTAGCCCATTAAATTAAGTATGTTGAGGGGCATCTTGTTAATTCCTTTGTCTAAGGTATCAAACTGATAACATTGCTCTATATTTGGGAAACAAAAGGAATTCTAAGGAAATAGTGGGGGAATAATTACTTCCAGATGTAATTTCTGATATTCTTTTTTAGGATAGTCTTAATACTTAATTTGGTGCGGGACGCTCCTTCTCTTAGACCGGGTTGAAATCTCCGACAAAATTTTTATCGAAACTCTTTGTTAGCACTCTATCCCCTTTCTTTGTACGTGTTCTACCTAATTAATGAATACCGTACTTATTTTAGAGTAATTATTCATATCATGTTTTTATATCACATTTCTATACCACCTTAGGTGGCATCTGATGTGGATAGCCACATCATTTGAAAAATTTGCAAAAGCCAAGGAAATGAAGAAGAAAGACTCATCGTATACCACAATCATCATTTAATTAACTAGTTTTTTCTTAATTATTAGTTTATTAAATAATGAACTAAATTTAAAAATCTGATTAATTCAAATGATATGGCTTGTCCACATCAAATGCCTACCTAAGTTGGTATGAAAATGTGGTACAAAAACATAGTATGAATAACATTACTCAAATAAAAAAGAAAAATTTGTTACTGACTTTAAAAATTTAATTGTGCACAAAACTTTTCATTATGTGGGGTACACAATTAAATTTGAAATTAGGTAGTGTTATCACATATCCATTTCATGATTGCAGGTCTGTTGTCCTCAAATTTGTGCCTTCTGTGTGTCTCTTTTCTAATTCCTTGACACGTGTCTTTCAATTTTTCAACACTGTTAATTTCTATTATTTTGCATTAAAAAAGTAGAGTTGTCGAAAATCCTTTGGCCACCCAGCACAACACAGTGTCATGCAACTAAAGAAGAGACATAGGGGAAGACACGAAATTTGGGGACAACAAACATGAACTTTGGTTAGTTTTCTGTTAGGGTTTTGTGTGATCAACCAGCAAACTGTTTGATAATTTGAAGGGTTTACACTTTTACAATCCCTCAACAGTCACATTATAGAACAACAAATACGATCTTGATTTCCTTTTGACATTGCTGACCGGTGACTGCTGTTACAATGTTAAGATGAAGGAAGCATTATTGAACAACGAAGATGCACTCGATTTTCCATCGGCATTGCCTCGTGTTAGAGCAGAGTTTTGATTGCTTCATTTCTTCTCGAATAGGAAATGAACAACCATCCATTCTTCTCCGTTGTTGAACCCAAAGAGTTCTGCAACGGAAATGAAGAATGTTCGCCAATATACCATCCATTTCACGGCTGAATCCTTGCCGTAAGTTGACTCCATGATCGGTTTTATGGAAGCCATGTTCCGATCCATTCTTTTGAGCCACTCTTCACTGCAACGCAAAAGGGTTTTCATTTTTCGGTCATAGAGTCCTGTTTTTGGTTACAAAAGAGGTTAGAGATTTCGAACATAAGCACCTTGTTTGCGCGTAGTGCTTCCCGTTGACGAGCCAATGATTTACAATGGAAACATCATCCTGCACAAAAATCATCACCAAGAACAATCCTTCCTTAATACAATAACGTTATGAAGCGTTCGTAGTAAGATCATCGACGAGGGAATGATTGAATTCACAGTTTTTAAGTTAAGGGATCACCTGGAAATAAAGCAGCAGATTTGCTGAGGGCATTGTACCCCCGCTGAAGAAGTACCTAGTAATCCAGTCATCTTCACTTTTATCCTACATCAGATTCAGGCATGAGAGTTATACATGTAACGCGGACGAGGTGCTATTAAGCAAAAAAAATATTCGTAAGGTTCACCTCAAAGTGGTAAGCAAATGCTTTATGGCAGAAATGATGAACAAACAGAAGGCCGTCGTCTTTCATCCACCCGGATATCTTCTTCAGAAGATCCTTATAGTTCTTCATATGCTGTCAACGCCAAAACCAATTCTTCAACCAAATACATGCCTACAAACATCATAATCTACTGCATCACACAGCACGGAAAAAGCTTTTACCTCAAACATTTCAATCGAAAATATTCGGTCAAAGGAAGCCTCCATTTCAAACGTGCTGATATCTCCGACGATGATCTCCACATTCTGCAGCTGAAGATTCCTACAAACAGGAAACAAAATAAACTAGCAGCACATAGTCTAGCAACTCAATCTGGTAAACAATTAATCATTTACGCGCACCGGCATTGTTCTTCTATAAAAGCTTTTTGTGTCGTTGAGTTGCAGATCCCGGTAACCTTGCAGTTGTTATATTTCTGCGCAATGTACAAAGACAAAGATCCCCAGCCACACCCCACGTCAAGAACAGTGTGACCATCTTTTATCTGTGACCTTTCACAGTAGAGCTCCAACGTTGCTTTCTCAGCATCCTCCAATGTGCGTGACTCATCATTGAAGTAGCAACAACTGCACTACTCTTATCAATATCAGACAATCTCCCAAAATTAATGGAACTCAAATAGAAAGAAAAAGTATAAGATGCGAGGATAGTACTGGTTACAAACTTTTAATCTAAGATATAATAATGCACACTAAACAAACAATAGACTATATGTGAAGCTCGGTTTGTGGTTTTTTTTATTTTTATTTTTATTTTTATTTTTATTTTTATTTTTATTGTGTGCTTACATCGGAAGGAATCGAACCCTGACCTATTCAAATCCTGACCTGTTGAACCCTGGCTCAAACCGTTGTATAATATGCATTGCCATTTAAGTGGTTTAGATCCAAATATTGTTTGTTTAAAAGAAAAAGAAAAATAAAAGTGGCTTGGATCGATCCGTTCAATTGTGTTGGATTCTTCAACGCACATCCCACTCTTAAATCCATCAATGTATGTTATACAATATTATGTAATGTACTTTTTTTTATATTTGTAACCAGTTTTATTTATGCATATTTCCAACAAAAAAAAACCCCTAAAATACCTATATTTGAGATTTTTCCCAGGCACCATCTTGAAAAAAGATGTGGGAACTTCATAGTGTTGAGCTTTTGGATCATCAGTCCTTATGGCTATGGGCATCTCCTTCAAAGCTGCATAAATTTTTCCAAACTTTTACTTAATGACATCATAATTTCCAAAATAACATCCAAAACAGCTAACAGTTGGTACAAATTTGAGACTACAGAGCGGAGGAAGTGTTACGTTACATTGCACGAATTGAAGGAGGTCGGACAGCTGGAGCTCGGAGGAAGGCCTGTAACCGGACCGGAGACGGCTCGCCAAGAGCAGCCGTGTCAGCCGCCTCACGACCGCGTCCGGCAGCAGATTCCGCTCCAGCGAAGCCAGCGCGAACCGTACGGTAGCATCGTACGGTGCTTGCATTACTCTGTTCATTTCTCCACCGTCTAGCTCTGCTACTCGCTCGCTCACTGCATGTGATCTTGTCTCTGCTGCTACTGGATAAGATTAGGCGGGGGTTCTGACAGTATCGTCACCATTGTTGACTGTGGGCCTGAGCCATTGTTCCATGGGCCTGATGTAAGGAGTAGAAGTCCAACGTTTGAGCCCATTGTGTTCACCATCACTGGCCCGAGTCCCGACCCATCGTTAGAGTCTTAAAAGCACAATGACGATTATAACCTCGTAAAGCTGGAACGACTCCAACCTACTCACTCCACCGTCCAACACACAGAAGACAAAACTTTTATTTTCCATCGCCTTTACAAAATTCGTCACGTTAAATTTTCCCGGAAAATCTTGATTCCCGAGAAAATCCCCAAAACCAACCACACGGTCTCTCGAGCAAGGCATCCAAATCTACACGACGGAGTTCATCGACTGAGTGCCCGAGCGACGTTCCTCCGGCCAAGAGACGCCCTGTCCATGCTGGTACTGCAACTTTGCTGAATTTCTCGTACTATGAGCATTTCTGATTCGATTAATCAGTTTCATTGATTCGATTGTGATTCAAAAGTATCTGTAGGATTTTAGAGAAGGGTTGAATTATTTACAAGTTTCCATGGTGGGTTTGGTTGGATATGGAGTAATTAGATTAACTTGTGTTCAAAGATAGGATATGATGTCGCAGAAAACTGAGAGTAAGGAAGATTACAGTGGTGGGGACTCTAACAGTGGCCAATTGTTGCGTGACATTGAAGAAATAAGCAAAGCCCTTTACTTGTATAAATCCCCACCAAATGTTTTGCTTTCCCCTTCTGATGGAAGATCCAAATCTGCCGGGAAAACCCGTTTTTCGGATTCAAACCCGAGATTGGTTAGGGGAGATTTGTTGCACAAGGACAAGAAATCATCTTCGGTGTGGAATTGGAAGAGGCCCTTGAAGGCTCTCAGTCATATGGGGAATCGGAAATTTAGTTGTTGTTTTTACCTTCATGTGCATTCGGTTGAGGGGTTGCCTGTGAGTTTTAATAATCTTAGTGTATGTGTGCATTGGAAGAGGAAGGGTGAGGTGCTGCAGACTCGGTCTTCGAAGGTTGTGGAGGGCGTAGCTGAGTTTGATGAAACCTTGATGCATAGGTGTTCTGTGTATGGAAGTAGAAATGGCGCTAACCATTCGGTTAAGTATGAGGATAAGCTTTCGTTGATTTACGTTTCTTTGAGTGGGGCTCCAGGGCATGACATTGGGAACCACTGGGTTGATCTTACGAGGCTGTTGCCGCTTACTTTTGAGGAGCTGGAGGGGGGGAAAAGTTATGGTAAATGGACAACAAGCTTTAACCTTTCAGGCAAGGCTAGAGGGGCTAATCTAAATGTTAGTTTAGGATTTTCGGTGATGCAGCATAAGTTAGTTAGTGTGAGGGATAATCCAAATGTTCCTGAGCTTACGAACACGAGGCCAAGAGGGTCAAGTTCGTTGGATGGTGGAGCAACGATGCTTCGGCGAGTTGGGAGTGTGCCAAGTAATGTAACTCCCAGGCCTGCCTTCTCATCTCAGTCTCTTGATTTGAAGATTTGTCGCAAAGCATTGCTGAATGGAGGGTTGGAGCTCTCCAAGTCAATTAATTTCTTATGTCAGACACTTGATGAGACCAGGTTGAGTAGTGTAACGGAGTCAGATTGTGAACATGTGCCACCACTTGAACCTAAGACTGATATAGACTTCTCGTTTGCTAAAGGAATTGAAGAGTGTGAAGATGATGATACTGAATTTACCATTGTAGAAGTGGGGACAGAAATGTCTGAGAAGGAAGAGTTGCAATCTGATGAAGTTCCTGGTCATGCTAATGGTGAGTCAGCAGTTGAAATCATTTATTTAGATGAGATCATTAACGATTATGACATGGACCTTGAGGAGAAGACTATGGTTATTCCAAAGGAAGTCCATGATAGTTATGTGGACCAGGTTGTGGTGGATGACAGCAAACATGAACAAGATAGCGTATGCATCAAGGGATTGGCCATGGATGAGGTGGAGTCTGCAACTCATATTCAATTGATTTCAGAATCAGTAGATTTGGATCATCCATTTTCTTCAGGAGAGTTTCTTGAGGAAAGAAACCACAAGGAGCTTAAGTCGACTTACAAAGCAAGTAAGACAGGTGAAAAATCACTTAGCTTGGACGACGTTACTGAATCCGTGTCAAGTGATTTCTTAAGCATCCTTGGAATGGATTGTAGCATGAGTTCTGATAGTGATGCCGAGTCTCCTAGAGAACGTCTTTTAAGAGAGTTTGAAAAAGAGGCTCTGGGTTCAGGAAACTTATTTTTTGATTTTGATTGGAAGGAAGAGCAGCCCGAAATTGGATCCTGTGTTTCACCTGGTTCTGATTCTGGAGATTGTTATGAGAATTCTGATTTGTTGTTGATTATTGAAGCCGCTGAAGAAGAGCACAAGAAAGAAAGTGAGCTATTAAGGAGAAGGAAGGCCAAAATTCTTGAAGGCTTGGAGACTGAAGCTTTGATGCGAGAATGGGGATTAAATGAAAAGGACTTTCGGAATTCTCCTCGTACCTTCTCTGGTGGATTTGGTAGTCCAATTGAGCTCCCCCTTGAAGAGCCACTATTACCTCCACTTGGAGAAGGCTTTGGTTCTTATGTTCGGTTGAAGGGTGGAGGCATTTTGCAGTCTATGAATCCTTCACTTTTCAGAAATGCTAAAAATGGTGGGAACTTGGTCATTCAAATTTCTAATCCCGTTGTTATACCAGCAGTAATGGGTTATGATGTTATCGAGATGGTGCAGCATCTGGCATTGGTTGGAGATACGCTGCATGAGTGGGTGAATAAACTAACACCTTTGGAAGATATTACGGGGAAGACAATACAACAAGTAGCTTGGGAGGCAGCAGCCGCAGCGCCAAACATAGTGGGGTCTGAAAGGTTGTGATACAACAAGTACATTTATTTCTGAAGTATTGTGATTTGAAACATTTCTCTATTTGTTGGCTTACTTCTCGTTTTTGTTTCAGGTTTGAGCAGATTTTATATGGCGGGCGGCAGGATGAAGGATGTCCTTATAGTTGGAGTTGTAATAACCTGAGTTCCACCGAATTGGGAGGTAGGGAGATGGGGTCAGACTATGTATCTCTAGAATATCTTGCTCCTTTGGCTATGAGAAAAATTGAAGCTTTCTCACTGGAAGGGTTAAGAATCCAGTCCCGCATGTCAGGTGGAGAGGCACCTTCAAGTATATATCCTGAGTCTGGAGGTTTGCAACTGTGCGGTTTTGGAGATCGTGTTGATGATGCCAAGGGATTATTGGCTCTCTCTTTATCACTGGACGAATGGTTGAGGCTAGATGCTACAATCATTAATAATGAAGATCACAGCAGAGATCGAATGTTGAAAATCCTTGCTGCCCATCATGCCAAGTACACAGATTTGATCGATGGAAATTTGACACAAGATACGAACTGCAGTGATTTATCTGGCCGGAAGTGTGGACTTTTGGGGGACAACCTCACAATTGCTCTCATGGTGCAGCTTAGAGATCCCTTTCGAAACTATGAACCAGTGGGCGTTCCAATGCTTGCTCTAATTCAAGTGGAGAGAGCTTTAGCCAATTTAGAGCCAGAAGTGTCAAGTGTGCTGTTAAACGATAGCAAAGAGAACGAACTTGATGAGCCAGTGTTTGAGGAGTATGGCGACAAGATTAAAGGGGAGACCAATGAAGGAGATGAAGGATGGAACCCTCAGTTTAAAATCATCGACGTCCACCTGTCAGGAGTGGATACCGCACCAGGCAAGAGGCTGCTCTGGGGCACCACAACGCAACTGCAGTCTGGCTCCCGATGGTTGCTTGGAACTGGCATGGGTAAGACCACTAGTTTTCCACTTCCAAACTCGAAAGCCCTTGTAAGATCATCCACACTGGTTTCAGCAAAGAAGCATAGAGATTTTTTATGGAGCATTTCCTCTCATTTCCAAGGAACGGAATATACCTGGAAAGATTCGATTGCTCCACACGTTCGAAACCCGAATGTTATATTTCCGAATGAAAGCATCAAACCACACGTAAACATGTAATATGTATATGTGCTTTCCTAGTACAGATTCTTTTGTTTGTAGAGTGAGAATAGAGATGTTAAGCGGGCCATTTTGCGTACAGGTTTTTATGTGATTGATATATTCTCTTGTATTATACTTCAAATCTGAAACTTCTTGCTTTCGTTTCTTTGTTCATTGAATAAATGCTGCTGTTGATATTTTGACGAGTTTTTCTTTATACAAGCGATATTTTACTTTTAACTAATCTTAATTGGGAGCGGAATCCCAACTTAGGATTACGCCCCCGTGTGCCATTGACTGTTAGTTTGGTTTGGAGGAACTTAAATGCTACGGAATGGAGCCTGTTTTGAGTGATTACCGGAAACATTTAATTGGCATCTGCTTTCTTGTTGTCCATGACACAACTCAGGACAGGATGTCTGCTATTTATTAAAAGAAAGACTATGGATATGATGTCTTTCACATTAAAAGAAAGACTATTGATATGATGTCTTGATGTCCATGACACAATTCAGGACAGGATGTCTGCTCTTTATTAAAAGAAAAACTATTGATATGATGTCTTTCACATTAAAAGCTAACGCGTCAATACCAAAATGTGTTACATGTTACAGATACAAAATCCGTCAATTGAGAAAGGATGGATATTTTGCACAAGAAATTTATAGCCATAACTTTAGTACATATTGGCTCCATGAAACATATGGCAGTCTTTGTTCACTCCACTAGGTGAACAAACATTTGGGAAAAAAAAAAAAAAAAAACTTTTTGTGCCTAAAGTGTTATTGAATTACAAGTCCCATTACTTAAGGCGTTGTCAACCAAATAGACTGCATTTAACATCCTGAGAAGTCTCATCCCTTCAAAACTCTAAAAATGCTAAAAAATTAGAGGCCTGGATGGTTATGGACACCCTCATAAGTTGTAATTACAAACCTTGGATCCTCTCTGTCTCTTTCAACTCTCTTTTTCACAAGGCACCCTTCAACTGAGCACTTGTAGTAATTCCTGCAATCAAATATACCATTATTAGATCAAATACGTCTAAACATCGCTAAACGTTATATCTAAATCGCATATGTAGGTCAGACAAGTTAACCAGAGCAGTGTGCTCGCCGTCTTACATGTGAGTTTGAATCCCTTCCAATAGATTAGGGTAGTTAAGATTATTGTTTGTAACTTCGTAAAAGGAAAGGAACACATTTGTATTTGATTCGGTTAATTGTGCTTTTACTCTATTTGTTTTCTTTTACCTTGGATGAGGGCTGTTTTTCACGACCTTTTTACCATACTTCCTCCACTTGAACCCGTCATCCAATATTTCAACCTCTGATTTTGTTTTGAATGCAACTCTCTCTCTAGTTTCCTGCCTCTCCCGGCTGCTTCCACTCTCTCCTCCTAACACACACACACGCAAAAAATAAATAAATAGTTAAAAAAAAAAAAAAAAAGAAGAAATACAATTGGAGCTAGAAATGCATTAGAACAAATATATGTATGTGAGTGCGTGGATAATTGTTTATATGCTTACTGCTAGTAGACCCTCCAGGTTGGCTGCTCCCTGCACCAGACTCATCAGCTTCATTTACTTGAAAACCCGAATTCTGGACAGATAACTCCGAAGCCACGGAACTCGGATCTTCATCGAGCCACTCGCCGATCATCAAGAATTCCGAAAACTCAAAATTCGAGTTGTCGGAAAAGTCATTAGTCTCAGGTGACTCTGCTGACCTGAAGTTGCCACCAGACATTTAGTTACCAAAAAGTATGACCAAACTGAACGTTGAGCATGACCTAAATATATGATCTCTCTCCCTGGTTCGAAAAGGAGGAGCAGGAGGTTTCATTGTGACCTTCCTTTGCAATGAAAGGAAGCTTCAAAGCTGATGCTAAGTAGGAGTGCCACATAGACAATGACAGATATTTATTAATTTGAAACCGAAAATTCTATGATGCTTTGAAGTATTTTATTTGAACCGTATTTTTAATCATAATTTTTTTTATTATTGTATATTTGACTAACTGTTTAAAAACACAAGACTATAGAACACTTCCGAAATATACTAAAAATAAAAAATACTTGAAATAAAATCCAGAAGAAAGATGCAGTGAGGACACTATAGTGTGCGGAACATGCCAAAGGAGGACTTGGGGGAAGACTTTGTAACTTGAAGGGTCCCTTGTTTAGACCAATCCCAATCCTTCACACTTGAGAAAAATAAATAATAAATAAGAATAATCAATGAATAATATTAATACAAGTCAATTGTGATGGTGACTTGATGCATTCAGTGCACCACATACGGGATTATGGGACTGAGTCATCGAGCTAAGGTCATTAAGGGCCTGTTTGGGATTGAGGTGCTTAAAAAAAAAGCTACTATGAAAAAAAGCTATGAAAATTTTTGGTGTTTGGTAAACTTTGAAAAACAGCTTTTTTTCAAAGTTGAGGGTGAAAAAAAGCCCAAAACCAAGAGATGACAAGAAGCTGCAATTTGCAGCTTCCAAAAGCTGCTTATTTTCACCCACACACGGGTGAACAGTATCCGGGTTTAATGAAATATACCATAACCCAAAACTGCCCTCGGCTTTTCCCTTCACCGACGCTTACGCCTTTCTCCAAAAACTCTCTCGCACGCTCTTCACCTCAGAGCTCTCTCGCCTTTCTCCGAACCTCAGGCGTCTGCGAGGAACGTACTACTCAAGCACCTGAGAGTGCAGGTTCAAGCTGTGCCTTCTAACCCTAGCTCCACCGCCCCTCTCTTCCTCTCCCCCTTTGCCGCTATCCGACGCCGTCTCTTATCCGAGGAGGTCAGGGGCACCTTCCTCGACAAATCTGAGGTCACCGATCGGGTCGTCTCCGTCGTCAAGAACTTCCAGAAGGTCGATCCTTCCAAGGTATATCTATCTATCTATAACTGAGACAAAAGCCGCCGATTTTCTCAGAAAATGGAATTGAATGTTTGTGGGAACCATTTTTCTAATGAATTGCAAGTTTGAACTAGTAGTTATTTGGTTGTTGTTGTGGTGAAAGGTGATCATTTTGTGTTTGAGGAGTTGATTTTATGCTTGAAAGATCCGTTGTATTGAATAATTAGGGTTTTTGGTAATGTCAAATTTTTGCTGCTTGCACTGTCCAGTCATAGCATCTTATTGAATGTACCCATATCCACAAACAGAACATCTGTATGCCTAGATGTTGATGGTAAATTGAAATATTGCTATTTGGGTTTCTACAAATTTTGGGCTGATGATGAAGTCATTTCTTCCAATGCAAAGCAATGGCTGATCGATTACATTATTCAGTTTTTCCACTGTCTTGTTTTTATGAGAAACAAAAATGCACAAGTAGATATGTGCAACGAGGATAGATATGTGAAGGGCGTAGATAAAGATGGGGGGTGAGCTCTCATACTTGCATCTGTTACTAATAGTTGTAGATGTATGATATTTCATAAGCATCCTTTTTTGTCTTTATTCTTTGACCTTACTCAAAGACTTGAATGTATTTCTCTATTTTGCTTTTGCATCAGTTTCTATATGGGATGAATGTCTCAAGTATAACAATGCAGCCCCTTCTTGTTTGTATTTCTTATTGTTTTGCTCGGGTTGGTGCTTATATGTTGTAACCAACATATTGTGAACGTCCCAAATTCCAATGGAGAGTAACATCCGGTTCCGGGATATGAGATTCTCAAATAAGAAATGGGTGTTATCTTTATGTGGTTGTGACTGTCAAAGCTCTGCTGTTCTTTTTCTTTTCCAATATTTAATATGCAAACGTTCATTTGTCACATGTGTGTTTCATCTCCTACTTAAATCATAATGAAAAGTGAGGTTCTCTCTTTTCAAATATTTACGTATGAGCAATTTGCCTCAGAGATTCTAACGTGCTCATGTCCTTTCACATTTCATACTGATTTCGTTTATAAGGCCATTATATTAATGCATTTTCATTATATTTCAATAATCTGATCTCCTGCGCATTGTTTTTCTTATTTTGGTAGGTTACACCAAATGCTAATTTCGAAAGTGACCTGGGGTTAGATAGTTTAGATTCTGTGGAGATTGTGATGGCTCTGGAAGAGGAGTTTGGGTTTGAGATCCCTGATAATGAAGCTGACAAGATCAAGTCGATTGATCTGGCTGTGGACTTTATTTCTTCTCACCCTCAGGCGAAGTAGGGGAAAGGCACGAGGCTCCATTTTTAATTTTCTCCTGTTCCCTGCAAGGGTTTAGCTGTTAGAACTTTTGGATTGTTATAAAGGTGCCATTTTGGGATTCCTGCTCCACCTACGAATGCTGTTTAAGAGAGTAGTATTTTTGGTATGTTGAAAACTTGAGTGTTGCGGTTCCAGTTTTATGGGAAGTGCGTTGAAAACAACTCTTTGATTGTTTCATTGATGTTTTGTTGAAATACAAACAATCGAGTTTATTGCTTATTAAACATTGCTGTTGACGATTAGCCGTGGCTTTTGGTTTCAGCTTGCTTGGTAAAGAAAAAGAGCTTAAATGATCTTTACCCTCGAGTACCTAGTTTATACTACATTGCTGGATTGCCTTTCAGTGTTTGGATTGCCTTTAGTAATTCACTTTTATTTGTTAAGAAAATTAAATTAATAGCACATCTAGTAATATACCCTTTTTGGTCATTTCACACAGTCACAGCTGTTTTACAAAAAAGTTTACCAAACACTTTGCTGGCTTTATTTCACAGCCGCTTATTCTCACAGCACAGCCACTTATTCTCACAACAGCTTTTTTTCAAAGCACAGCAATACCAAACCAGCCCTAAGTACCATCCTTATGTTGGAGGGAGGATTATTTTGTTTAGACGCTCGTATAAGGTACCTTACATAAGAAAATTATTGACAAGGAATTTAGGTACTTTATGTGTGTGGTTGAATAATTACATGGTCGGACAAATACTTATGTATAAAGTAATTTTACTGCTACAAAGCATTTTCAACTATTTGAAAGCCCAAAAGTACAAGAATTATTTAATATTTCATGTTACATGTCCCACAACTATATAACCAATTAACACAACATATCATGCACATGAAAATAAGCTCAATGTTTGGCATGTTATGTTCCACTTGTTTCATTTAATTTCGCAGTCGTACTAAAATGTGAAAAGCATTAACCCTGTCCTTACGTTGGCGTTGCACATACTGTTGCTTCTGTGATTTGAAGTGCACATGGGCTCCGTACAACCTAAAAAGAATCAAGCAAGAACTTGACCAGATGAAAAAGCTTGACCAAATATACTGCTGTAATTGGTCCTGCCTTACCGATCGATTCTCGGGTCCGGAGGATATAATCTCTAGTGGATGCGGTTGAAATAAGAGGGTACTTTTTTATCTAGAACCAGACGACCACATATTTTGGTCGTCCAAATTTAAAAATTTACCCCTTACAAAGCATAAGTAAGTTTCTTAAACCTTTCTTCTGTACATTAATGTATGGCGCACGTCGCACGTTATACAATATTTTAAGATAAAAGTGTAAACTCGTCACATCTGACAATAGTGTCAACAAGAATTATGGACCATTTAGTCTCAGTTCATCAAAATTTTGTTCAAAGTTGATGTTAGACAGACATCAAAAATTAGGCAGCCATTTAACGAAATAATTAACCTAGGAAGTATGTGAGTAACTTCCAGAGGCAATGTCAAAGGGTCCACTGAATAACTGTCATATTATCATGATATCAATATCAAGTTGGGTAGCCAAGCAATAACTTTGAAAGATAAATTCTTTATCTTGTTTTATACAAATTAACCAAAACTTTTGATAACAATTTCTTTCTGAACAAAGTAAATGTTGAGACTTAGCGCAACCAATCACGAAATGAAAAATTAAAAACATGCAATCTTTCTTAGAAAAAAAAAAAGAACAAAAAGAGAAGATAATGGTTGAAAAACGACTTTTTCAGAACGCTAATAGTAATTATCTAGCCAATCACTCGAGTCCAACAAACACAACCCTTTTTTTCGAGGAAGCAGCCTGCAGCATCATAGACTGCGGACAGAAAGGTATACACTTCAGAGTTCCCGACAAAATTCGCCCTTCTCCTGTTCTCCAACAGTTTCTGCTATCGTTATGCTCTGCAGTGGGCATCTGCAACAAACTCGTGTGTGTGTGACATATTTGTGCTTCATCTTCGTGCTTCGAGGCGCTCTCCAAATTCCAGTAGAACCTAGTCTGCTGCTCCGGACAAGCAATGAAAAACTATATCGAATAAGCCGCTTTATGGGAATCAAAGTAAGAAACGATTGTTTGTTAACGGGTAGGTACTAAGCATGTGTGAATAAACTTATCTACCTTGACTGTTACAGACGGTCCGATTTTAAGCTGGTCTTGCTGAAAGTGAGTTTGTTTTATAATCCACGGAGATCCGCTGATTCGGCTATCTTTAGGTAACTGGTTCTCTTTTAGAGCTAGCTTATTAACTAGCAGGATTAATACATAGAGTAATAGATTTTTCATGGACAAACCGGTAGTGCAAGATACATATCAGGTCTGCCGAAACATATAGCAATTTGTAGAAACTGCATATTGGTAATCATTGATTCAGCATCATGGAAACTGAAAACGTACGAACAATTGGTTGTACCTGTTAGTGGCAGAGAAAACAAACACACCCCGTCTCTCGTTTCCACCATCTAACTCTACAAGCAACTGTGACTGTAGACGGTGAGTGAGTTCACTTTATCCACAAATGAACAATATACGATCGAGCGTGTGCATCGTGTCTTGATGAGCATGAATCGGTTCGAGATTACCTGGTTTACTAGCCGCTCATTAACCCCTCCCCCTTCGTTGTCGCCCCGCTTTGTTGTCAAAGCATCCACCTGCCAATAATTGAGCGGAAAAACACATTAGAAAAGCTACAATTTGAGGGACACTACTTACATGAAAACTATGAAATATCAGACACCCCAGGAGGACAAGACACTCATGTTTACCCGTAATCCCTAAACCCTAAACCTTAAACCCTAAACCCTAACCTAACTCTAAACCCTAACCCTAAAGCCTAAACCATAAGCCAAGGCAATGTAATGAGTTCGCCAACATTTTTTCTAGAAACTAAATAAAATACCACAACTAACAAAGAAATCTAATAGAGACATCGATGACTGACCTTAATGTGAATTAAATTGACTTCTGCTTCATTAGCGACAACCTTCGCTATCAGTGGTTTTCCGCATCTTGAAGTCCCGCAAGGCTATTTTTGAAGAGATATTTCAATAAGCCCTAACATGCAGTGAAACAAAATAATATCTTTTCTAATTGGACGAACACTTGAATTTTTTTTTTTTTAACTCTAATTGTATAACGATACGTGAGAGTTTCGCTCTGTGTCCGACGGGCTGAAAAGTTCTCAAAAATATCATATTTTTGGTCCGTGGGTGTGTAAAAGGACTACTAAGCTCTATTCTATAAATTTTATTACAAAATTGCCCCTACAAGTTTAACCTTTCTAATCAAGCGACGTCGTTTGCAGAAGGGTTACATATGCAGTGGTTTCCTGCCGCCCCTTTCTGTGTGTGCTCTAACCGTGAGCGATGGCGCGCCTAAAGCACAAAGCGGGCCCGCCGCCTGCAGCCGCCGATAAGTCGGAAAACCGGCGTCGTTTAAACATGGAGAGGTCGGCTTACTTCTCCCGGAGAGAGGCTGCGAAGGTATTGAAGCTCGTCCTCCAAGGCGACGCCAAGAAGCGGTCCGTCGGCACCATCAAGTCGCTCGTTTACAGTCCCTCCGTCAGGAACAAGAAAGGCACTTTCGCTTTGGTTTGCCAAACCCTAAAGTGTAAGTTTACAACTCTCACCGCATTCAGAAATGCAAAGTGAAGTTATTTTTTATTGGCTTACTTTCTGTTTGGCTGCCGATAACATTTGATTTTCCTGCTTATTTCAGATCTTCAGATTATCCAAGAGGTCTTGAATGCTGCCGAAGTACTGAATAGCAAGTGGAAGGTATCAAAACGTCTTCTTTTTTATTCATAATAACAAGCAATTTGAACTCTCAGGCACTGAATTGCTTAATTATGATGTTGCAGAAGCAAGATGAGTTGGTTTACATAGTCACCTACGACATCCTTTTCGGTCAGGTAATATTCGTTATGAACTCGAAACAGCATTTTATTTTCTGCCCCTAATTTTGTGATAGTGGTCGATTTTTGAGGTGAAATGTGAATTAAATTTTTATACAGGTGAGTTCATCCGCAATAGGTGATGCGGAGAAGTATCTCATGCGTCGCCAAGAAGCTCTGCGGTCCGCTCTGGCCCGGCTTTTGGTGAAGAAAAAAGTGAAGAAAGTTGAAGACTTGATAGCTCTTTATGAAATTCCCGGTGTGTGTGATTTTACAGTGTTTTTAGTTTCATACTGTTATTCCATCTCTTCAATTGTATACTACTATAGTGGAATTGGCAGAAACAGAATGCTTTGCAATGTTCATTTCATAGAATCTAAGGGAAATTTTAAACTGTTAGGATGCGGACTGATGTTACCTTTCGTTTTAGGATGCGGACTGATGTTACCTTTCGTTCTAACACCATTTTCGTGTTGCAGATATCTCAATACCTCGTCATGTTCGAGTAAATACTCTGAAAATGGATGTTGACACTGCCTTACTTGAATTAAAGAAGCAATTTCAGGTATTTCCTCAAAGTTTGTAATTAATGTTTTGTAAGAATGTAATTAAGTTCAAGTGTATGTCGTGTAACACACGTTACAAAATTTAGAGGTAATCTTATGGTGGAATGGGTGAAACATCAGACTAGGCTATCTCTACTGAATTAAACATGTAAAGCCGCAACTTGGGTGTTTGGCAATTGCTGATAACCTAATATCAAGTGAATGTGTTGCAAAGACCAATTTTGAACATTGAGAAAAGAATGTGTTGTGTGTTTTGTTTTGCGTTTGTCTTCTGGAGTTTCTTCGCTGTGTTACTGAGACAGTTTTTTTCTTACATAGGTTCAAAAGGATGACCTGGTTCCTCACTTGTTGGTTCTTCCACCGGGTAGTGATCTTCACGATCATCCTCTAATAAAGGATGGAAGTATTTTTATGCAAGTAAGAATTATCTAATATTGTTATTAGTACTTTCCTCATAAAATTTCAACCAACCTTGACGTTGCCTTTATGTTCTGTTCTTATTTTGTTGAAGGATGATGTGGAAAATTGTCTAAATCGTGAAGGATCCATTTATCTTTTATCTGCATGAGTTATGTTTTAACCATTTCTTTAACAGGGAAAGGCAAGCTCTATGGTGGCTGCAGCCCTTGCTCCGAAACCAGGATGGGAGGTCGGTAAAGTTTGTACATCGCTAATTATTATGAACTTAAGTTGGGTTAATGTTTTGCGTCGGTTGTATTGAGTTTTAGGTTAATGTTTTGCGTTGGTTGTATTGAGTTTTGGTTTTAAGATTATACAACAGTTTGCGCCAATTAAATATGATTTCCTTTGAAGGTTCTTGATGCATGCTCGGCTCCTGGAAACAAAACTGTGCACCTTGCAGCTCTTATGAGAGGAGAGGGAAAAGTAATAGCATGTGAACTGAATGAAGACAGGGTTAAACGTTTAAAAGAGACTATCAGACTTTCTGGTGCTTCTAGTATCCTTCTGCCTTCATCTTTCCGTTTACTTTCTGTTTGTTCTCTTTTCCTTGAAAGTAGTGGAACTACGGCAATCTAACGAGTAATCTGAAATATGATACATCGTTATGTTTATGTTTATAACGTTTAGATTATGCCGGTCGCTGATCATATCTTGTGCTATTGTAGCATTAACTTATTATAATAAGGCATTTGACTTAACTTGGGCTTAGATATTAAGGTTGTGCATGGAGATTTCTTAGACTTAAACCCTGAAGATCCTCAATTTTCCAAGGTTAGAAGACTTAACTTCCAGACCGTCGTTACTTTTCTCCTCCTGGTTGCGAACTCGCATTTTACAATGTTTCAAATACATTCCTTTCATGCTTACAACAAAATTCAATGTTACAGGTCCGGGCCATTCTTTTAGATCCTTCCTGCTCTGGATCTGGGACTGCTTCTGCAAGATTAGATCATTTGCTCCCATCTGCTGCTCCAGGTGCCTTTTAGATAGCTTCTTGTAATTGCTGAATTTTACCCAACTAGATATTTCTATCGGTATATCCAACCAACAAAAAAAAAAAAAAACGCAGTCGCAAGATGTGCGTAACTCTTATTCAATATGCAAGGAAGCTTATTTAACGTTCCCAGATCATTAGTCTGCTTGTGCAGAGTTACGAATGATCGAACATCTATGTTCTTTTAAAATACGTAGGTCAGGGTGCCGATTTTGCCAGCACAGAAAGACTTAACAAGCTCGCCGCCTTTCAGAGAAAAGCTCTGGCTCATGCTTTATCTTGTAAGTTTGTTTCTACTATCAGTTGTTTACCTTAAAATGTGGGGAAAAAAAAACGTTTTCTGAATCCCAAAATCATAGCCAAAACTCGATCCTTTCTATCCGGTAGTCGCTCAGATACTAATATCTCCTGCTTGCTTTGTTCATTTCGTTAATAATCCGATTTATTTCAATCATATGAATTGATGTGTACTGCTTTTGCCAGTTCCAGAAGTGGAGAGAGTTGTTTACAGCACATGCTCTGTCAACCAAGTCGAAAACGAAGATGTCGTTAAATCTGTGCTACCACTTGCTGCATCCAATGATTTCCAACTGGAAACCCCCTTCCCGAAATGGCACCGCCGTGGTCTCCCCGTTATCGAGGGCGGTAAGTAGCATCCTTAAATCTTGACAAAATGTGACAAAATGTTAAGATATTGGCATCTCAGTCGCTGCCGTTATCTTGCCTTGCAGCCGAATGCTTGATTAGGACCGATCCGAAGGAGGACAAAGAAGGCTTCTTCATCGCTCTGTTTTCCAGGAGCTCCAGCACCCAACAAGAGGCGCCTAATGGAACCGGCAGAGACGCCACCGAAGCCTCAAAGAGGCAGAGAAATTATGCAGTGCCTCATCTCAATCTATTTAAAACGTGGACACATGCGCAGCGGATGTGGCGTAATAATTCTAGCCACACTCACAGTCAATGTCATTGTTGCTAAAACATTAACTCCTTTTATTTCAAAAGCTTTTCGTTTAAGCAACTTTTGCTACGATTCTGTTCTCTTATGATGTCCAATGATTCGATTTTTCGCGTAATTTGTTGTCCGATAGTTCAATTGTTCGAGTTATTTGTTCCGCAATGCACACTTTTGGCGGATTTTGTGAAAGTCGCCAACAGAAATGGGAAGGATTAACAGAGATTGAAGTAGGCATTAATACATAATATGCTTCATTGATCTGAAAAAACAAACATGCTCAGAACACCAAAACACATATAAAACACGTAAACACATTCAGAAAATACAACGAAGCCACAAAATCTATCCGCAAACCATTTTATAATCCAGGCACGATTATTCTCAGAACCCAAATCGCAGAAACAGCTCTCTGCAGTCTCAACCAATCTTGACCTCGATTGTCTTCGGCTTCTTCGGCTCCGGTGGCGGCAGCTTCTCAACCGTCACAGTCAGAACCCCATCCTGGCAAACAGCTGAAATCGCATTTACATTCGCATTCTCCGGCAGCACAAACTTCCTCATGAACTTGCTGACCCTCCTCTCCATCCTCACGTACTTAGCCCCTTCCTTCTCCTCCTCCCGCTTCCTCTCGCCGCTGATCAGAAGTACATTGTCGTCCTCCACCTGGACCTTTATGTCTCCGGACTTCAACCCCGGCATGTCCACCACGAAGACGTAGGAGTTAGGGTACTCCTTGACGTCGGCTGGCGTCGCGGCCATCGCCTTGGCGTCGCGGACGTAGGTCCGGGTGGGGGCGTTGAATGACTTCTCAGCGTCATCGGCGGCGTCCATGATGTGCTGCAGTGTGGAGAAGAGTGGGGCATCAAAACCGGGGATTCTGATATCCATTCTTCGCTTCTTGGTGGGTGGAATTTTCGCTTTTCAGAGTTGATTAGCAGGCTTTTATGAACCCTTGAGTAGGAACTTCTGGTCGCTGTGGAGGAGGAGGGAAGGTGGATCCGTACTTATAGGAGGAGTTGAGAGGGGACGTGGGTTAGCGGGAAGGGAAAAAGGAAGGTTCTGGAGACACGGGGAATGCAGCAGGGGGTTCCAGTAGGTTCCGTTTAATTCTTCTATGAGCGTCTAGAACGGTTTGGAAGGTTTAAAACTTTTACTAGAGGCAGGGCTTCTTTAGTCATTCTACAGATTTTTAGGGAAATAAAAAGGGGATATTTGGAAAATAGTACTAAATAATAAAGAGAATGGTTGGTGGTGCCACTCCAATATTTTATTTTGCAATCTAAAATTTTTATAACTAGAAAAATTACGTTGTGAAGGTGCAAAATAAAATTTTTAGAATGCTAATTACAATTCTAATACATACTAAACATTTAATTGCCACCCAAAGGTATTTTTCGTTTTTTTAAGGTTAGAAACTTTAGTGATATTTTTCTATGTTCAAATTATATAGATAAGAAGAAAAAAATTCTTCCCGTGGTGAGCTTTTCTCTCAAGTTGAGAGTTATTCTCACTTTCTGTGTGAGGCGTTCAAACAAAAAAAAAAACCCAGTGACACCGGCCCTAGCTTCAGTCGGGGATCAGTTACCGTTTCCTTCTTACTTTCTTTCTCTTTTGTTTTCCTTGCTTCTACTGCTTTGTCTCCCAAATTTCTACTCCGATCTATTCTATTCCTCTATATCTGAGGGTATTACTCTTCATGGCTTTTTCTTGCTCTGATCTTTTTCCATGCATCCTACTAAGATCGTGCGTAGACTTCTGGCGTATCCACCGACTTGGGTGTTTCCAACACCACTACTTTCTCTTTGTTGTATGTCAGTTCAACAGTGTCGTTCGTGGGTTTCCAAGAGTTCATACTGATAGTTGGCTTCTCTCGCTTAATTGTCGACTATCCCTAATTTATGGTTATGCTCATGTAGCAAATCGGGGTTTATATGGTGTCTGTTGAGGCAGTGCTCAGCGGTGGACAAGGAATCAGATGGATTGATTGGCACTGGAATGGTGAAGAAAGTTGTGAAAAGCTGTTGAAGCTTCTGGTTTCAGATGCTTGATGTTAAGTTTAGGCCTAACTGTTTTTGGGCTCATTTGTATTTTCTAGTGTTTTAGGCCTACTTTTGTTTGTTGATAAGTAGTCTTTGGGCCTTTGGTGTGATGTATGTTTTTTGTTGGTGTTTAATAAAATAGGCTTTTACTAATATATATATGGGGATAAGAAGTTGAGTGAACCTTCATAAATAGCGTAAAAATGATCACTCTAATTGTATTCACCATGACCAGTCCTTTAGTTAATTGTGAGCCAGCGAGGCAAGGCAACTCTAAATTAGGAAAGATTTATCAATGTACCTAAAAGGGTTTGAACACTACATGTTATTATACAAACTAATGTTATAATTTATAAGAACCGAAAAACAATGTGTAGCCGAAGAAAAATGGTGATAGAGATTTCTAAGTTTTATTTGACATAAAGAAGTAGCATATGTATAGTTTCACTAGCACTTGATTTGCAACGCTTAACCAGTACACTTATTTCACTAATATATAGTTTCACTCATGATACTCGTATTAAGAGCGCGAGACAGAACGCAACATTCATCATTCGCAAATAACACATGACCACAAAACCATGCACATATATGACCACAAAATCATTATCAAACAGATATGCGATAATGAGAAGAAATGAAAGGGAGGGACGACAGACGGATGGATGTCGGGTTGGAGGCCGGGATCGACTACTTGTCGGACTGCCTCTCAGGGTGGGCAGGTAGTTTTTTATCTATTTAATTCCTTATTTTATTTTGTTTTGAAGCAATAAAATTGATTCAACTCCAGCTGTATAAACAATGGAACACCTATTTATTCCTTTTTTTGGTGTTCATTTATTCTTTTTTTTTTTTTTTTTTTTTTTTAAATTTTGTTTTGAAGCGATAAAATTGATTCAAGTCCAACTGTATAAATAATGAACACGACCAATACCGCACGTAATACGTATTACCTGTGGTAATATGTTGATCTATAATAAACACATTATGTGGATCTATAGCATAATTTCAAATGTAAACACTGAAATTACATTATAGATCCACATATTAAACGACACGACACTAAGCATACAAGCTTTCCTTCTTTTATCTTATTTTTGTGAAAACCCAAAAGGCAAAAACCAAGTGAGGTAGACATGACCAAAGCATACGAAATTACAGACAGAAAACCAGAAGGAACGATGCGTGCATGAATGCATGCAACTTTATTTACACACACGTACCACGGTACCATCACCACTAGATAGCAATCACAAACTGATCGTGCAGACCATCAGAGCAAGCGGCTCCGCGGCTTTCCCTTCTTCTCCTTGCCCTCCTTGGCTTCCACCTTGCCCCTCTTGACCACCACCTTGGCGTCTTCCTTTCCATTCTTGACCACCACCTTGGTCCAGATTTTGAGCATTAAAAAAAATAATAATAACATAAGGGGCCCAGATTTGGATTCCCCACCCCCACTTTGTTTGCCCCACTACCCTGCCGTCTGTTCTTTTCTCCCAAGCTCTGCAAAATTGATAAATCCCTACCCTTTTGCCATTGCAATCTCTCTCTCTCTCTCTCTCTCTCTCTCTCATTGAAACTGGGCCGCACAATGACTTTGCGAAGATGACCCCCAGGAATCAGGTATGCTTCACTTTGCAAACCCTCAATCCACTTTTTGAATTTATTTCCCTAATTTTCCGTTCCCATTTTTAATTCCATCTACTTCCTTTTCTCCACCCACACTTTGTACTCCCCAGATTCTTCTCTGTTAGAGAAGCATCTCGGTTCTTTAACTCCCAAGACTGCCCTTCTGTTATGAACCCAATTTGTAATTGAGGTTTATGCTTGTAATTGAGGATTTTACTTGTTATTAGGGGAATTTGTTAGAGATGCCCAATCTGTGCTGAAGGAGCCCCATCCCAAAAAATGTACCAATCTATTTTTATTACTTTCAATTTCGGTTTTTGTTTAGTTGCTTTGATTATGTTAATAAATATCAAATTTGGTACATTTTTTGGGTTTAAAATTTTCAGGAGGTTGTTTAGTTTGTTTGTCAATGTGATTGATATGAAACATTACTTGTCTTTGTGGATTTGCAAATGGATACCAGTGAAGATTTTGGAAATGTTTTACAGGGAGATTTGTGTTGGCCACTCTTTGCTTTGTGTTGGCTAATCCTTACAAGTTCAAGGGTAAATTGATGAATACCTATATTTTATATGATTGGATGAATATCTTATTGGATTGGGATGTATTGGATGTGTGTTTAATGCGTTATGTGATTGGTTTTTTTTTCTTTTCTTTTTCTTGCAGCTGCTACACCAAAACAAATTAGAGAGTTAATGAAGGTTGATGGGCTTACTAATGATGAAGTCAAAAGCCGTTTGCAGGTTTGTATGTGTGATTATCCATCTGTTTTGAATCATAATTTGGTTGATGTGATTAAAATTTTACATATACATGACAGCAATTGGAAGCCATTTTGCATGCTATTAGTGATGAATTTTTTTTACACATACATGTGATTATCCTCGTTAAATATTTTTTTTAAACATATGTTTACGTATTAAAAAATGGTACATTTTGAACTTTTGCACTGGGCACCAAAAAACTCAGGACCGGCCCTGCTCTTGGCCCTCTTGGGCTCTGCCGGAGGCAGCTTCTCCACCCTCACTGTCAGCACGCCGCCTTGAGCCACCACCGAAATCGTCTCCAAATTCACATTCTCCGGCGGCACAAACTTCCTCATAAACTTCCCCACCCTCTCCTCTTTTTCTCGCCTTCTCTCCCCGCTCACCACCAAAACGTTGTCTTCTCCTCTAATTTCATTGGCTTTGATTCCGGGCATGTCTACCACAAACGCGTGCGAGTTTGGATACTCCACGACGTCCGCCGGAGTGGCCGCCATTGCCTTCGCGTCTTGGACATATGCCCGAGACGGGTTCTTGGCGTTTCGGGACTTTTCGGGCTCTTGATCGGCCAAGTCCAGCATGTCTTCCAAGATTGTGAAGAAATTGTTTCCCGCGTTTCTCAAATCCATGTTAACGCAAATTGTGTGAGATTAGCAGAGAATTTATTAGTGTGGAAAATGGAGGATCAGATCGATGTATTTATAGAGTGATTAAGGAATTACAGAGAACATGCAAGAGTTCTAGAGGCTGCAAAGCAAAACGAAACAAGAACATCCCATTGCAACCAGAAGAGCAGCAACTCAAAATTTATCAGTACAATCTTCGTCTTCAAATTTCGTCATTGTCTTCGTCGTCTACGTAGAGTGAATCATCTGTTTCTTTCTGCTCCATGTATCCATACTTTCTAAGAAGCCATATGATTACCCGAATCACGTTACCAATAAACACGATCCCCATCAACGCCAGCCATATCAGCACAGAAACTTGTGTCACATGATACAGATAGCTACCCCTTCTCTTATTCGGTGTCATGATGATTAATCCGATAAAATAAGTACCCGTTAGTGCCGTTATTGCAATCCACATGATCACCATCTGAAGCCACATCAATCTCTTCCGCCTCATAGGCAATCCGCTCACCAGCAGTAGAATTATGCTCAATGATGCAAGGAAAGCAATGGTGTTGAAGATCATGAACTGTCCATAATTACGGGGCTCTGTATTTGCCATCACTGACTGCCCCGCTGTGTGCGGACGCTCCACAGCGGTGCCATTGGAGTATTCGAAATAGTCATCCTGCCATACACCGCCTGGCGGGGATAATGCAGCTTGAAATGCCACTGTCGCAATTAGGGAAGTCACAACCATTAACGAGCTTCGTTTCCTTCCCAACCAATCAATGTCCTTCTTCTTAACTATTTCCTTTATACTCATTCTCTTCGACATTAGCGGCTGCATTGAGATCGAGTTGGATACTCGAACTGAATCCATTTCCGGCTCGTACGCAACGGATCGTGACTTGTTGATTCCTGGAGCTGCAGCTTTCTGAAGGCACTGTTTGATTTCCAAGTCTCTTAAATCTCTAGTGCTATGAGATAAGACGTCCAATGCAGTGAAACCATTCGCATTCTGGGCCTTTACATCTATCTTTGTATTAGTCAGCAAATATTTTATAACCTGCACAAAATTTCCACAGTTTTCATAGAGAATGAAAAAATATGATATCTCAGGCTAAAAACGCATTGCGAAACATTGCAAAACACACAAGTTAATTTGCATGACTAACTTGGGATTTTACGACAGTACTCCGACCCAATCACGCATTACCAACCACAGCATGCACAAATGGATTGGGATGCTGTGGTAGCATTCCAATTCAGTCATGCATTTCCAAAAACAACACCGCATGATTGGCTTGGGATGCTACGGTAGCATCCCAATTCAGTCACGCAACGCCAAACACACAGCACTGCGTGATTAGCTTTAAATTCCATCATCGTAGCATTCCAGGTACAGGGAAGTTCTTCCTTACAATGTGAGTTAAATGGAATTGAAGTTTTTCTTCACTAATATTCATAGAATTCTTGAAATTTTGAAGTTTTCTTCTTTCAGATAAAAGTCTAATTATTCCCACTGAATTAACTAATTTTAATTTCAAAAGACAAAACTTTATTCCACAAAAATTAAGGAAATATTACCTCTAATTGTTTCTTGGCCACAGCAACATGTAAGACTGTGTTGCCATCGCCATCCCTCCAATTCACAAACTCATCACCTCTCCCAATACAATCCACCAAAACCTTCAACACCTCCAGCCTGTGATGCTTCACACACAAGTGCAGCCCACTCTCGCCTCCCTGAGTCAAACCCCGAGTCGCCGCCGGTATGACTCGGGCCAACTCAGCCACCACCGCAGCTCGCCCCTTGATCACACCCAGATGCAGGGGTGTGAACCCATCGCGATCCCAGACCAAAACCAGATCTGGGTTGACCAGCACCAGACGTTTCACTATCTCCACCGACCCTTTTGCCGCCGCCAGGTGAAGAGGCGAAGAGCCGCGGGAATCTAACTGGGCGGCGAGTTCGGGATTCCGACTCAGTAACTCTTTGGCGAAAGCAGAGTGACCCAGAAGCGAGGCGACGTGTAAGGGGGTGTCGGAGAGAGATGGGGCGGGCTTACTGAGGATTTGAGGGTCTTCTGTGAGGAGTTCGAGGAGGACGTCGACGGAGCCCCGCACGGCGGCTCGATGGAGCTCTTTCTGCATGACCTTCTCTCTCTGTTTTGCTTCTTCTTCTCTCTGTTCCTCTAACAAACTCAGCAACTTCATTTTTCATTTTTGTCTCGCTGATGCTTTGCGTGCGAAATACAAAACAGAGACGGAGGCGAGCAGAAGTTGACGGGCACCGTTAGTTGGTGGTACCAAACAGGAGAATAAGATCATCTCCGGATCTTCTTTGTTGAAATTTAGAGAATTAATTAATTATGTCAGTTTATCGTATATCGTACGATTAATTTTTATTAAGTACTATTTATATTCAATTTAAAATTTAAAATAATTTATAACCGTACGATGTACAATAAACAAACATAATTGATTAATCTCTAGATCCTTACAAAAAATATCCGAGGATGATCCATGTCCCCAAAGAGGGGAGGTCAAACCATCAAAATTAGTAGACTAAAAAACGTTACCGTCCAAGTTTTTTTTGGTCGAGCATACCGTCCAAGTAATATGAGAATACTTGGATTCCGATCGTTTATTTTATGTTTTGATATTATATTATATTTAAATAATTTATATATATTAAATTCTAATTCTAATTCTGATTAACATCGAATTACTTTTGTTTAAATTTTCTTAATTTTTTTATAGACCTTTCTGCGCCTTCAAGTTGGACCAAGTGAGGCTGAGTCAACATGAAACCACACGTGCGAGGGACAAGTAATGGTTTTCATCTAGAAACCTTATGGGAACCATTTGCTTTCTAATTTTCTATTTTCCTTACCGTCTAAACAATTTAGGAAAACTCAACAATTGCATTTGAAAAAGAAAAAAAAATATCATAAGCTATAGTTCACATTTATCAAATTACTTTGTGAAATTCCGTGATACAAGTTTTTTTGTTTTAACAAACAATCTACACTAAAAAGTTAAGAGAGTGGGCTGAGCTCAACAATAAACTATCAATAACGCAATTCAAATTCGCATTTGATAAGAATCAAACATAAAATCTCTCTTACAAGTGAAGAAGAATCCACCGAACTGTATTACTAAGTGGCAAACTTGTGATACAACTTGACAAAACAAGGGCCATGGATGTGATTGCCAACCCTAAACCGCTAAAGCTAGATGAAAACCCTACGTGTGAAGGGTATTGAACTTTTCTCTCCTTCGTGAGAGATCTTCTATCCTCTCTGTGAGAGTTTGTTTTCACCTGCATGTGAGGTGGTTGTCGTCACCCTGTGCTTTCTTTTCCTTTTCCAGTTGTTAGTTTCCTGCATTTTTCGCTAATCGTCTCTGATTTGTCTATCTCCCATCTTCCACCTCCATGGTTTTCTTCCTTCCTCTTCCCGCTCTTCCATTTTGGCTCCGGCTTTCCTCGACCCATATATTTTCAGATTTGTAGCCACGACCTGTCAACGCGTTTTGACGCAATTCTACCGGGAAGTGCATAGAGCTTCGGCTCGAATGTTCACACCACCACCTCCCATGGATTTCTCTTCAGTGGCTTTGTGGCCTTCAATGACCTTGCTGCTAGTGGGTCATCTCTCACTAGCTTCCTTTGGTTTGTGGTTGTGGTTCCGAGTTGTGTGGTGCTTTGTGGAGGATGTTGTAGTCATGTTTTCCATCACTTATGTGAAGTTGGTTGGCTAGATCTTTGTAGTTTGTTTGGAGATCAGGTTTTCGGGGAGATCTCATAGATGCTTCAATGGCGGCGGTCTAACAGGACTAAGGTTTGTTGTTTAGTTTGTGGGCTCAAAATCTTTGTCTGGGCTCTATTTTGGGGGTCCATATCTTATTTTGTGCTTTTATTGTAATTGGACTCTTCCTTTGTAATTATATTATGTTGTTGGTAATAATATTACCTTTCTTCCAAAAAAAGAAAAAAAGAGCGGTAACCCTACGTGCAATCAGAACCAAGATTATGCTTGGTAAAATTCATATGATGTCAATCAACGGTAGCCTGTCATCCATTGAGAAAAAATATTGCATGTGAATGGTATGTGTAAATTCGCATGCAAGTAATTGAGTTGAACTTGGCTTCTTTGCTTAAATACCAAACATGAGCTGTTGACTCATGTCCACTTTCCAAGTAATTGAGTTGAACTTGTCTTCTCATTTTGCTCGGACTCAAAAGTAATTATTTTTTTTTATCAATACTCAAAAGTAATTAATTCCACTATTTCTCTCTTTAATTTGTTGGCATAATTAAAATTAAAATTTGTCAATAAAAAAAGTTATCAAATTTATTAGTTTTGTGTGTTGGTCCCATACACATGGCATGAGTAGAAGTTTTGTTTTTCTTTTTTTTGTTGTCAAAATGAGAAAGCTACTTGCACTTTCGTACTGCTAATCTTTATATAGTAAAACAACCAGTACAAGTGACCTTTTACTAGAGGAGTGTTGCCCTTGTACCACAACGTGAACGTGAGTTTGAAACTTGACGACTCCCTAATCTAATATATAATCAAACAAATCTATCGTTCGACAAACAAAAATCAACCAGCACTTTTAATTAGTCCAAAAAGTAGAATTAAAGAAAGTAAAGGGCTACCTAGTGCATTCCAAGCTACCGTAGCTCCACTAAGTATTTATTTTGATTTCAGCACGGATAGGATCCACTAAGTTTTTGGATGAGTGTAATAATATTTCTGCGAGCAAAGCTGATCACTGAATAGCTTCAAATAACAAAAATGGAATTTGTCAGTGAATTATATTTCTCACCAAAGCAAAAACAACTTCAAATATTCCTCCTCCTTCTTCTCTTGTTTCTCTTCAACCCTAGTGCAACTCCGTTAACATTCAATTTCTCGAGTTTTCCACCCCTCACGGCCAATATATCTCTAGAGGGAGATGCTTACACAGACGGGTTCCTCCGGCTCACCAAAAGCGCTGTGGACGACAACAAGACTCGCAGCGCTGGTCGAGCCACCTATAGCCAACCCTTTCTCCTCCGCCAAAACGCCACAGGAAAGATCGCTGATTTCACCACAAACTTCACATTTGTCATAGACTCACAAAAAGAAACCAACTACGGCAACGGTTTCGCCTTCTTCATAGCGCCAAACGCCTCCATACTCAACCGCAAACTAGCGAAACACACTCTCAGTATGGGCCTTCCCGTACATCCACTTGGGGTCACCGTGAACACAAGTCTGTATCCTTATGTGGCGGTTGAGTTTGATATCCACTATAACGACCAGCCGGACATTCAAGACCCCGTCGGCGATCATGTTGGTATCGACGTCAACTCGGTCATGTCTAGGATTGCAAAGCCTTGGAATGGAAGTATTGTTAATGGAAGGATCAATATTGCTTTCATTAATTATGATTCCAAATCAAAAAATCTTAGCGTTGCCTTCACTACTTGTAATGCAAATGGCGTCCAAGTGATGAGCTATCTCAATTACACGGTTGATCTGACTCGTTACTTGCCCGATTTGGTCGTTGTAGGGTTCACCGGTGAAACGGGTCGTTGCTATGCTACGCACAAAATCAACTCATGGAGTTTTAATTCAACTTCACTGCTTGATGATGCACATCACAAGAGCACCACCAAGTCATCAAGAAATGGCCGCATGGCGGTTGGGATGGGTATTGGTGGGTCTCTAATTATCTTGGTTTGTGGATTACAGTTGCTTTGGTCCAAGATCTTGCGGAAGAAGAGAGAGAGAGAAGAAATTAGTAGTGATTGTGAATATCCTTCTGGTCTTGACTTGATCATGGACGATGATTTTGAAAAGGGGATCATAACCTCTGGCCCAAGGAAGTTTTCATATAGTGAATTGGCTCACGCCACGAGTGATTTTTCCAAGGAAGAAAAGCTAGGAGAGGGAGGGTTCGGTGGTGTTTACAAAGGCTTCATACAAGACTTGAACTCATTTGTTGCGGTTAAGAGGATATCGAGAGCGTCAAAACAAGGATTGAAGGAGTACGCGGCAGAAGTGAGGATCATTGGTCGACTTAGGCATCGGAATTTGGTTCAACTCATCGGTTGGTGCCACGAAAAAAAACTGCTACTTGTGTACGAGTTCATGTCCAATGGAAGCTTAGATTCTCATTTGTTCAAGGAAACAAGCTTCTTGAATTGGGAGGTAAGATACAAAATTGCTCAAGGCGTGGCAGCTGGGTTGCAATATCTTCATCAAGAATGGGAGCAATGTGTGCTGCATAGGGACATTAAATCCAGCAACGTTATGTTGGATTCGAATTTCAACGCGAAACTTGGAGATTTTGGGTTAGCACGACTTGTAGACCATGGAAAGGAACCACAAACAACGGCTTTAGCTGGAACCATGGGATACATGGCTCCTGAATACATTATCTCCGGAAAGGCTAGCAAGGAGTCGGATGTGTATAGCTTCGGAATTGTTGCGTTGGAGATTGCGTGCGGGCGGAAACCCATTGATCACACTCGAGTTAACATGGTGAAATGGGTTTGGGATCTCTATGGAGAAGATAAAGTTATTGAAGCAGCTGATCCAAAACTTGGTGGAGTTTTCGATAAGAAACAAGTAGAGTGCTTGATGATTGTAGGGCTATGGTGTGCTCATCCAGATTACAGTATGAGGCCTTCAATGCAACAAGTGATGCAAATGTTCACCTTCGAGGTTCCGTTGCCCATTCTCCCGTCAAAGATGCCGGTTGCCACCTATTTTCCTCTTCCAAGATCACTTTCAATGTTGTTCTCTGATATTAATGTTACTGTCTCTGAAGAAGGAGGACAAACTGAAGCGTCATGCCATGGATCTTACAACACTACAACTTCTTCCTCATACATACCGTAGTATTTGTATAACGTATTTCACTGTAATATATTTTTGGATCATTTAGATATAGATCCTTGAAACTTCTATTTTCCAAATAAAAACTCATCTAAATTTAAACATTCAAATAAAATCCAAATTTCAAATAGACTGCCACGTAGACAAATGTATAACCAACTATTACAATACATTTACAACTTGTGCCACAAAATCCTAATTTGGTCAATAAATGTTATTACTCATCCTAATTATGATGAGCAATTAAATCCATATGGATATTTTACCTTTCTTGTATCATATATATTAGCAATATATTTAAATTAATTTACCAAATTAAAAAAAAAAAAAAAAAAAGACATATCTTGTACAGAAAAAAAATTGGTTTGAATCATGTAATTATCTACATACAAATTAATTTATCTACTTATAAAATATTATACTAATTTACCTGCATTTTGAATCATGTAATTACCTACATACAAATATTATACTAATTTACCTACATTTAAATTAATTTACGTACTTATAAAATATTATACTAATGAATTAGTTAGAGGCTAGTCAATGGACTTTATTCAAGAAAACAAAAAGAGATGGATTTTAGTAGAGGAAAATATAGTTTCAAAGGGTAATGTCAAATTTTCAATATATTTTTCTACTCTCTCACCACTTAAGCTACCCAGGTCCCTACTGTTTTTTATTTTCTTGTTATTTATTGATGGTTGTGGTTTTGCTTTTCCAAATAATGGTATTTTTTAATTAATTTATATTGGCCAGTACAAATTAAAAGTGACTTTGCTGCCATTTCCCTTTTTTCTTTCTTTTTCTGAAAAAAAGAAAGAAACAGTTTCGCTAAAAATCTCTGTGAGTTTGTGTGTGAGAGTGTCCAAAGTCCAATATTGTAAAGCGTTTACTTTTGCAGCATTAGCTCCACTTTACCATTCATAAGCAAAAAACTCTACTGTCTGCAGATCGATGAAAAATTACTGAACACAAAAGGTCCCATGCGAGGAGGCTTTGTTGAGAACATCCTACATTAGAGATGAAGCTTTTGCGTTAAAAGATCTTGAGCCTCTAATCCACTTATTGCCAATTTATTTTATGTCGGAAGCATGCGTTACAACAAAAACGTAAAAAAATTCTCACATAAAGTGATCAGTTAGAAAGTTGAGTCTTATAAGCTGCTTGAGAGCCTCAGGCTGACTATTTATGTTTTACAAACATGCATAGAAATGCAATACGTACAGTGTACGTACTCTCTCCCTCGCAAAATCAGCTGCTGCTCCTCAAAGCTTCAACCGCTCAATCTGCGAGGTAACAGGTTCTCTTAAATGGCACATGTCACTACTGACTGTCAACCATTGTTTAACTATTTCAACATCCTCTTTTGCTTCTGCCAAGTGAAGAGGCAACGAACGTTGCGAATTCAACTCGCCTGTTTAATTTGGTCCATATTTCATTTGTAATGAAATCAAAGTGTGGATTTGTCAAGATTATCGACTTTCCTAGAGCTTGAAGACATAGTTTGTGCTAAATTCTTCAACGGCGGAGAGTGATTCGGCCGTGAAGGATTCGTTGCAGTGGATGGCACCAGCTCTGGGGAGCTCTGGGGAGTCTCTGCATCAATGAAACACAAGTCTTTACAGGTTGTTAATTAATACTTAAACTATGACAACTGGATGTAATTAAGAACAAATCTCTTCATAATTAGTGATCATGTTATCACCTGGAGATTTCGGAATGAAAATCTCATTTCGTAAAAGCACCTGTTAGTACACGATATGTTAAATACTTGCTATGAATGATACGACAATCCATAGCTATAGTTAGGGAATGGTTCGGTATGAGATATCGAACCAAAACTAGTATTCCGAATCTCAAACCGAAATTTTTCGCGACGGGAATTTGAAAACCAATCCCAAACCAAATTTTCGGGAATCTCGAAATATTTTCGGGATTTTAGGATAAATCGGGAATCTCAAATTAAAATATGAAATTATGAATTATTCTTCAAATATATAATTCAAGAACACATTCATGAACTAGGAATGTCATTTCATTCACACTACAATTTAATCAAATACTAGCATGCCTGACTGTTTTTATCATAGTCAAAATTCAAATTAATTAAACCCCTTTGGCAATCTGTTGAGAGACAAAAGAATCAAGCCTTCTGAAATCATCATCCATGACAGCAGCAATAATAAAATCCAAATGAATATCAAACAGAACATGAAAAATATGTAAGGTGTAGGGCATTCCAGGTTTCAGAGCATAAATTAGAAACTTGGTTCGAGATTTTCGGGAATTTTTTTCACCCCTAGCTATAGTAAGAAAAATGACTTACATAAAACAAATTAATTGCCACAATATGTTTTATTGCATGATATTGTACTAATAAATCACGACACGAAGTGATAATGAACTTATTTCATGCAAGTTACTCTTCAGCATAACTTATATGACATGAGCACACCGTCACGCGTTGTCTCGTACCAATAATGCAAAGAACATATGTCCTTATGTTATTAGCATGGGACGCCAAACGATAGTGTACACGTGCCATACAAATCTTTCTCCTACAAATTGATACACGAAGAGAAGCTCTACGTGTGGAGAGCTCCTGCCATCCAGAACTCGGATGTAATGGGTCATGAGGGTGGTGTGAAAGGAAGTAAGTTCATTACATAAGGTAGTGGTGGGTCTTTACGTTAGGAGCTGGGGTAAGTGTAAAATATTGTGTTTGGAGCCATATAGACGAGTGATCTAAATGCTGATCCCAAAATTTCCACCTACGTGTCGGCACTGATGGGCAACTGACTGTAGCATTGATGACTACCACAATCCCACATATCAACCCATCATTGCATACGGATCAATGTCAAACCTATCCCAACATAAGCCTTGACACAAGCCCAAAACTAGAAGAAATTTTTAATTGTAATGGAAACATAAGTAGTAGTATATCACGTATTTTAATAGTAGTGAGAAATTTTATTTTTAAAGTTATTAATTTTTTAGCATACATATCCCACCATTTATATAATAATATGTGGTGTACAATCTCGTGTACAGATCATATTGAAAAATCTCTCAAAAACCGATTAATATCTTGGAAAGTTCTCGAAATGATAATCGACACGTGTCCGCTTTCTCGATCCGAAAAACCCTCGCTACACTCCATAAATCTTGTCCACTCTCAAGCCTTCGAGCCCCTCTCTCTCCCCTCAATCCTTTTGCTCAGTCCACTTCGCTTTCTGTGTTACTCCTCACTCTCTCTCCCTCTTTCTAGATATTTGCAGCTGGGATTCCATCAATCTCCGCCGTCGATTCCGGAGGGATGAAGTCCTGAAGACGATGAAGATGAGCCCCCATGATCTTCTTCCTCTGCTGGTAAGAACCATCACTACCGATTGGGGTTTTTACATGAAGAAATGTTCGACCCATTTATGGTGATCCACGTGCGGTCCCTAATCTGGTTGCGCAAGAGGAAAAAGAACCCTAAAAATCCAGCAAAACCCACATCCCAATTAATCCCATAGCTCTCAAATCACGCCTTAAATTCTTCTTTTCTTACTAACAGTTCATTTCTTAGCAAAAGTTAACTTGTAAAGTTACAAGATTGTATTTTTTTTTCATTTCAAAATCTAAATTACTCTTTTCCTTTGCTGATTATTATCGGATTTGAGTGTTTCTCGAAAATTTGTCGATATCTTTAGTTGGGTAGGGAAGGATTTGGAAATCTTTAGTCGGAAGAGGGGTTTGGATTTTGTATCCTGATCGAATTTTGAAGGTGGCGAAGATGAGCTTGAGCGCGGCCGAGGACGATTCGGCTTCGGAAATTCACATCCCAGCTGATATAGATTGGCATATGCTGGACAAGTCCAAGTTTTTCTTTCTGGGTGCTGCTTTGTTTTCTGGTGTATCAGGTGCTCTGTATCCAATTGTAGTGTTAAAAACCCGTCAACAAGTGTCACCCACTCAGATTTCTTGCTTGAAGATGTCTTGTGCTATCATGCGCTACGAAGGTCCTAAAGGGTTTTACAGAGGTTTTGGGACCTCTCTGATGGGAACAATTCCGGCTCGAGCGCTTTACATGACGGCGCTTGAAGTTACCAAGAGCAATGTTGGGACTGTGACTGTTAGATTAGGATTTTCGGATACTACAGCTATGGCAATAGCGAATGGTGCTGCAGGGTTGAGCTCAGCCATGGCGGCCCAATTAGTTTGGACCCCGATCGATGTTGTGAGCCAGAGACTCATGGTTCAGGGCTGCACCAGCAGCACCAGACACATCCTCCCCAATGTGAGTTCTTATAAGTACAGAAATGGCCTTGATGCTTTTAGGAAAATTTTACATGCCGATGGATTGAGAGGATTGTACAGGGGATTTGGGATTGCGTCACTGACTTATGCGCCTTCAAATGCGGTTTGGTGGGCTTCTTACTCTGTTGCACACAGACTCATTTGGGATGGTTACGGTTGCTATATGTGTAAGAAAGATGAGAGTGGCTCAGGAAATGGGTCTAATTTGCGGCCTGATTGCAAAGCAATGCTGGCAGTGCAGGCGTTCAGTGCAGGCATGGCAAGTGGGTTTTCTGCTCTGATTACCATGCCGCTGGATACTGTCAAGACGCGCTTGCAAGTTCTGGATGCAGAAGAAAACGGGCAAAGAAGACCGCTGACAATAATGCAGACGGTGAGAAATCTGGTGAGGGAAGGAGGGTTTGCTGCTTGTTACAGGGGGCTAGGGCCTAGGTGGGCTTCAGTGGCAATGTCTTCCACAACCATGGTTACTACCTATGAGTTTCTCAAAAGAATGTCTACCAAGAATCAATAGAGCTGCCATTTCAAATCCTTCTTGACTTGATTAGGTTATATTGGCATGCCTACTGCCATATCTGGTAATGTAACTTTGTACATAGTGTAGAAGGTTTCTTTCATTTGTTTTGCCCCTTTGTGCAAGTAGTTTCATTCCGCTCTAACGATATGGCATTAGTAGATTGGTAACACTGCGTGTCGGTCGTTGACCCCAAGTCAATGGTCTTGAGACTTGTTATGGTAAGTCCAATGTGGAGGGGATGAACAGTAGAATGGGAAAGAAGTGAAGTTTTCATTGATGAGTAGGGCTATGTTTTGGATTATATGCTTGCAATCATCTAGTGGTATCTCTTTGTCATGTTGATTCAAAAAATCTGTTGATGTAAGACACTTTTGGAACTACCTTAATATTATTGTGGGTAAGCCCACTATCCAGAAATAACAAATGTAGGCAGAAATCTTGTGCAAAACTTGATTGGTGGAGTTGGGTGGGTGGTTCGGCTCTAGCCCCTCTCATAAGTTAAAAAAGAGAATATTTTCGCTCATCGTCCTGATCATCTTTAATACATACATGAACTTCAGGCTCAACGAATATTTATCATGTCACGTGATGAGTGGTTTGGATTCGATTGGAGTCGTCACATTGTCATTTCGCAAAGCTTTTTTAATGCTACGTGAATTTTCGGCTCAACAGACACTTCATTATGTAAGTAATTTGAATACAAGGGGATAGATATGTTTTGGTTTAAATGTCTGGCTGCCAGTTGGCCAAGCATGTTTAATGAAAATGTGTACTTCTAGCTTAATGAATGCTTTATTAGGTTGCGTGATGAATAATTTAAAAGAAAAATGAATGAAAAGTGTTTGAAAACTTTGAGTTTTAACGATAAAGATAAAATAAATGGTAAAGTAAATAGTACTAGGATTAACTTTTTAATGTAAAAATATAATTTTTTGTTAAAATAAATAGTACCGAAAGTTTTTCGTTAAAATTTCTTAATTTAAATGAATGACAAGATGAATTTGTAATCAGCTTCATCAGATGAGTTCAACAAACTTGCAATAAAACAAAAACAAAAAAAGAGGAGGCGGTAACGGTGTGGAAAGGCCATGACAGCATATGCGTCCGGTGTGGAACAGCCTTTTTGTTTTTAAATGGAACCCAAACTCCAAAACCTGGTGCGAATCCGATGCAATGCAAATAACCATGGACCATCAAATCTTGGACGTTTTCTCAAATTTCTATGGACCATCAGAGGACAGAGTGGGTCTCACGTGCTCTGTCCCTATATTCTCTCTCTTTTCTTTCCCTGTCTTATCCTCATGTGACACCCTCCCTCACAGCTGAGTGTCTTATCCTCAATGTGACACTTCGGATCTCTTCCATCAAGGTTATCGGATTAAATAATTTGGATCTTTGAAATTTTAACTAATGGTAAAAAATTAATATAATTTTTAAAGGACCAAAACAAATGAGCCGTTGAAAAAAATTTCAAAAGCCCGGATCATTTGATCCGATGATCTTGATGGATATTTCTTTCCTCTCTTTCCTGTGACAGTCTGGCCCTGAAATGTCCATTGAAAAGATTTATATAACACGGATATAATGATACTGAGGCTCATCGGGTCATGGGTCGATAATGCAATGTAATATGTAAGTTTTTTACATTTAATATTGCACTATTTGCTCGAGACACCAAAGTGATAGTGTACATGCTTCATATCATCGTTAAGAGTAACAGTGTTTAATATAATACATATGACACACAAACACAAGTCTGAACCGTTAGATCAACATAACTTTTTATAATCAGTGAATTTCCGAAGACATGGAGGCCCGCAACGAAAAAGGACCAAGTATTTAGCACATACGCTTTATTATTGTCTTTGACATCAAACACCAGTTTGGGCTTGGGCAGGTCCAATTCATTACCTATACAGAGACTGGACATTGAGCCCCGATTCAACAAAGCGCTTCTGTTAGAAGCGCTTTCATTATACTTCGAAATTTTCACTTCATATCCCAAAGAGGCCTTTGATTCCAGTTCGAAGCACAAGGGCAATGAAGAAAAAACAGATTCGCCTCTCTTTAACACCCCTCACCTAAGCGTTTTGCGCCTCTCAGAATCGAAGTTCAGAGACAAATAGGACACAATCTGATGAAAATCCAAATGTGAAATAGACACGCGAACTTTATAAACACTGGACTACATTCACGCAGACAGATAACAAGTCCCACTCACAGGGAGGAAAACGTTTCCGACCCAAGTTTAAATATCCTAACTTCAATTGAAATAAATAGCAGACTTGCAACCTACACAACATATAAAGATCCGAGATAAAATTTCCTAAAGTTACAAGCTTGAGACCGAGAGAAAACCTGACCTAGATAATTAGCAGTCAACCACGAGAATTCGTATCCACAGAAAAACCATCAATGTTTGGCTCTCTTGTTGCTGCAAGATGGGCATTTGTACTGCTTAATATGCTCGGCTCTTGCTGGCGTGATCTTGACACACTTACCGTGGAACCACTTCTCGCAGATATCGCAGCAAATCCAAAACTCATCAGCTGCGTAGTTCTCTCCACAGGCCCCACACAGTGTCTCCCCATGCTCATCCTCATCCTCTTCTTCATCTTCCACACCTTCTTCCTCGTCCTCCTCCGCGTCCTTTGATTGCAATGCCTTTGAATGCCTGGGTTGAGGCTCAGAACCTCGCTGCATTTGCCAACCGAATATGAAATAAGTTACAATGTAGCCACGTTGTTCAGAAACCAAAAACTAATGTATTCATCTTCCACTCTGATGTTGGAACGGCATCACAATATTTACAGAAATTTCAGAGTTAATTTTTCCATTGTAAATATGTTATGAATATACCAAAGTATCAACATGGGCACAACTATAAAAACATAAGCAGAAACATCAAACAATCCAGAAACTAGCAATCAATCCTTTTCCAAACCTTAGAGTTTGACTTAGATCTGTTGCTGCCATGATTTGAATTTGATGACTTCTCCTTCACTTGTTTCTTGGCTGTCCCTGTCACAACCTCGAATATTGTTGGAAGTTCATTTATCATATTAAAAAGGCGTTTCCTGCAATGTACATACCAACATCGTATTGGTAAGTGAATTCAAGATCGCTAATACGACAAGGCTGCCACACAAAACTAGAAGAGGTCACAAGAAAATGAGATTTAGATTGTAGTCAGCAGTCCAAACCACCACATGAAGGCAATGGTACATAAGTACAATCTCAGAAAGGAAATACAAAATTCCTCTTTTCTGGCGATGCTCTTTATTAATAGGCCACGTAACCTTATACATAAAAAATTTAAGTAAAAGAATCCAGAAAAGGTAACCGAAAAAAGAATCCAAAATCCAAACACCTTCAACTACATTCCTAATAAAGATGTCAGAAGAAAATAACACAACTATCAACTATGGCACGATCACCTTCTACATCTTCCAAAAAGAACAGAATCAATCATTTAAAACAGCTGTGAACAGTCGTCAAGGAAGTAGGCCACAAAGTATCAACTGTACTACAGCTCAACCCAAAACTTACGATTAGGCCATTGGAGTTTTCCTGAAAAGAAGAATTACACAGCAAACACACACATGGGCGTGTGCACATATATTGGAACATAAAAAGTTTTAAAACAGATAACGTAATGTCAGGACGGTGATTTTGCCCTGACTTGACTTCTTGGGAATAAAGAAAGAATTTCAAATGCCCATACGCAGGAACTTGGCCTGACCTAAAAACAAGTGATACGTCAACTCTGAACCCACAATTCGAATCCACTGAATCATACAGAATCAAACCACGCATTTATCATATGGTACAAAGAAGCATACCTATCAGCCTTATCAAATCCAAACCTAGCACCAAAATAAAATGCCACTGCAAGCAACCATGCGTCACTGTGGACAGCAACCAAGGATAACCAGTCCTTTTCTTGCATCCCATCTCTCGCAAAGTTGATACCAAGCGCTGGCTCCGGAAGCTCTGGGGGAACCTCCTCCGCAGGCAAATTAACCTCCCACTGCTCGCTTGGAAATCCATAAAGGCAAAGATTTTCCTTCTCTGTCATTAAAGATGTTTAAGGTAACGTTCAGGCTTTAGAATTAACCGCTACAGAAGCTTTCAACAGTTGCATTCTCCTTTTTCATCAATTTTTTTAACAAAAGAACCCAAAACCCCCCACTTCAACCCATCTGCCTTGAGAAACATTGATTTTGTCTTTGAGGTGGGAATTCAAACTACTTCTGTCAATACCCGATCAAACCGCAACAATTCAATTCAACTTTTGAAAGTTGAATTAGACGTATAAACACAACTAAATTCATTGCTCTAATAATTTTCAAAAGAAAAAAAATTTACTTTTTAAGTTTTTATAGACTCAACTGATACTGCATTATTGAAAAATAAAAAAAAGAGCAACCCCACTCAACAAGGCTCCCCGCTTTGCGAGGGGCGGGAGAATGCAAATAAATTTACCAACAATAAAAAAAACCGAAAACTGAATGCTAATGAAAGTGAAAATTCACTACCAGTGCAAAATTCATGAAGTAAACTGTAAAGGGAAACAACTTAAGTTAAAAATTAGATTATTTAATGATTTATTTTCTTAAATTACTAAAAAATCCTCTCTTTCACACACGTGTCAAATTCACCAGAAATTATTAAACAAAAACCCTAATTCAGTTCCTTCAGGAAAAAAAAGCCCATTCTGTCAAATAACCAGACAGCACCTGCACTAAAATTAAACAATTAAAAAAAAACAGAAATAAAATCAAGGAAAAAACGCTAACCAGGGTCACACTGCTGAAAAAAGTCTTCGACCTCTGCAACCACATAAAATAAGAAAATTTAATATTTCATCGAATTTCCATAGATTTTGAAGCAAGAGCACAGAGTTGAAGAAAAAAATTGGAGCGAAAAGGTTACCGGTGGTGAGAGCTTTAATCATGCCGGCCCTCCGCCCTTTGAAGTCTCTGAAGACCTCCTCCACCGTGCGCGGGTTGTACGGAGCACCGCTGTCCATGTCTTCACAATTGCAGAGTGGGGGAAAAAAAGAGGAGGGAAAGGTTGGGAAATATTTTGACCTCTGACTCTGAGTCTGAGAGGAGAGAGGAGGGAGGAGAGAGAGAGAGTGGGCGTGTGGGAGACAGAGAGAGATGGGACGGATTTGAATCGGAACGAAATGGATTAATAAAGCGAATTTGATAAAGGGGGAAGAGTCCGTGAGGCTGACGAACTAACAGGCCCAAAATATTTTCAAAAATAAAAATAAAAATAAATCGAAATTTTCAGTTTGTTGTGGGTCCCTGATAGACTACGACTCGACAGGGCTTTTCGGCAAATTTGGTTTTGACAGATTTCAGGGAGTAAATTGTAATTTCCATAAATCAAATTTATTCCTTGTCATGTAGAGTTTCAACTTAATTAAAGCGACAGTCTAACTTAATGACGTAATACCATGTTGTGAAAATTTTACACTTCACGAGTCTATCAATTTCGGATCCCTTCCGTCAAATCCTACCAATCAATAAATTCAGACCCTTAAAATTTGATTCAAATATTAAAGTTATTATAATTTTAAATGACCTCCTGTTTTTAGGCGTTTGATCAAATTTCAAAAGTACAAATTTGTTGATAAATAAGATTTGGTGGAAGGGATCCGGAGAAGTTCATTTCCATCCATTTTAATCAAATAGAAATTGATTAATATTTCATAAATAGTTCCGTAGCAATTTGAATTTATTTTATACAATTAGTATGAGCTATGACATATTGACATGAAAGCCGATGGGAAACCCATTTGCCTCCTTCCCCGACTGGAGAACAACATTGATTTTGATCAAGAAAATTTGGCTTCTGCTTCACTACGCAATTCGTCAGACAATCGATTCGTCCCTGATCTGAAAAGAAAACAAATCAACGCGTGTTTGAGCTTCACGTCGAAGGAAAATATGAGGCAGACGATATAAAAACACGAAAAATCGAAGAGTTTACTTCTTCATGACTCCCATCATACTCATCAAAAACTAGTTACCAAATAAAAGATCCTTGAACCTGCATTACTGTTGTTTCACGATCAAGTAACCTCCATTCTTTCCCTACACACAGACAAATGTTCAACTAGCACCCTTCTGTAAGTATCTGCATCAGGCGCATCTCTTACGCTTACCATCAAATAACGTCTTACCCTCAACTGCCATCCCTTTTTCCTTGACCAAAACCGAAAAGCTCTCCAACTGAAAATGTAATTGTTCCACAGAAAGTCTGCATTGCCATATTCACGTTGTCATCCTTGCAGTGACTCTTTATTATGCAACCATGGAGGGGGTATCAAGCTCGCGACCATTCAAAAGCATGTCGCGAACAAGCTTTTCAACTTCCACCATGAATCAGAGCATTGTAAGTAAACAGATCAAGATCACAACCCTGCTTCTCTATTTCATTCATACACTTGATCGCCTCATCCAACTCGCCTTTCTTACAATACCCATCAATCAAAGTTGAATACGTTATTGGGTAGACAATCCTTACTTTCCCTCATCTGACTCAAAACTCGCCTCGCACTATCAAAATCACCCGCCTTACAAAACCCATGAATCATAGTTTTGTAAGTAATCACATTTGGCTCGCAGGTCATTTCATCAAACAGTTTCTGAGCATTCTCCATTTCACCCATTTTACAAAATCCATGAATCAGAGCATTGTAAGTAACTTGATTGGGCTCACATCCCTGCTTCTCCATTTCACTCATGCACTTCATCGCCTCCTCCAACTCGCCCTTCTTACAATACCCATCAATCAAAGTTGTATAAGTTACCGTATTGGGCAAACAATCCTTGCTCTCCCTCATCCAACTCAAAACTCGCCTCGCCCTATCCAAATCACCCGTCTTACAGAAACCATGAATCAGAGCACTGTAAGTAACTTGATTGGGCTCACATCCCTGCTTCTCCATTTCACTCATGCACTTCATCGCCTCCTCCAACTCGCCTTTCTTACAATACCCGTCAATCAAAGTTGTATAAGTTACCGTATTGGGCAAACAATCCTTGCTCTCCCTCATCCGACTCAAAACTCGCCTCGCCCTATCCAAATCACCCGTCTTACAGAAACCATAAATTAAAGAACTGTAAGTAAACAGATCAGGCTCACAATCCTGCTTCTCCATTTCATTCATACACTTGATCGCCTCCTCCAACTCGCCTTTCTTACAATACCCATCAATCAAAATTGAATATGTTACTGTATTGGGCAAACAATCATTTTTCTCCCTCATCTGACAAAACACTTTCCTTGCACTATCAAGATCACCTTTTTTACAAAATCCAAGAATCATGGTATTGTAAGTAATCACATCTGGCTCACAAATCATTTTATCAAACACTTTCCTTGCATTATCAAGATCACCCTTTTTACAAAATCCATGAATCAGAGCACTGTAAGTAACTTGATTGGGCTCACATCCCTGCTTCTCCATTTCATTCATACACTTGATCGCCTCCTCCAACTCGCCTTTCTTGCAATACCCATCAATCAAAATTGAATATGTTACTGTATTGGGCAAACAATCCTTTTTCTCCCTCATCTGACAAAACTCTTTCCTTGCACTATCAAGATCACCTTTTTTACAAAATCCAAGAATCATGGTATTGTAAGTAATCACATCTGGCTCACAAATCATTTTATCAAACACTTTCCTTGCACTATCAAGATCACCCTTTTTACAAAATCCATGAATCAGAGCACTGTAAGTAACTTGATTGGGCTCACATCCCTGCTTCTCCATGTCATTCATACACTTGATCGCCTCCTCCAACTCGCCTTTCTTGCAATACCCATCAATCAAAATTGTATATGTTACTGTATTGGGCAAACAATCCTTTTTCTCCCTCATCTGACCACAAACCTTCCTTGCGCTATCAAAATCACCCATCTTACAAAACCCACGAATCATGGTACTGTAAGTAATCACATCTGGCTCACAAATCATTTCATCAAACACCTTCTGGGCATTCTCCATTTCACCCATTTTGCAAAACCCATTAATCATTACGCTACAAGTCGAGACATCGGGCTTCACCATACCTTCCTTCACAATCTGATCATATATTTCCTTAGCTACACTCATCCTGTCAGCCCTAACCAGAGCACCCAAAATCGCATTGTACGAAAACAAGCATTTCCCGTTCTCGATCAACTTGGCCTTGTGAAACCAATCCATGGCGGCTCCGATATCCCCTCGTCCGCCATGAACTGCGATAAACCTGCTGACCAAGAAATCATTGAGTCTATTGGATTCTTGAAGGAGTGAGGCAGCGGTGGAGAAGAGAGAGTGGGAGAGGAGGAGGTCGGTGATGGCCGCGTAGCAATGGTGAGTGTGGGAATAATTGTTGGGATTAGGGTTAGGGTTTGAAGCCCAGTTGAAGAAGAAGAGGGCACGGTGAGGGTTGGCCTGAGATTTGATTACGTGGATTACAAGGCTTGGTTTCAGGAGAGGCGAGAAACGGTTGAGAGCCGCTAAACCCAGATTAGAGCGGTCGGGTTTTTGTGGGTTTAGAATTTTCAGAAGGGAGTTTATGCGGACTGCCGCATTGAAATCTGTAGTTGTGAGAGATGGGTTGATTAGGGCTCTGGCTGGTGTAGCCATTGATTTCCTCAAAGCCCTTCCTTCCACAGTAGAAGGTGGCATTGTCGGTAACTCCCTCGCCCGAGCTCGTTTAGTATTTCTTCAAAAAGTACTTAAATTTTTTTTGAAATTGAAAATTAATTTCATCAAAAACATTTTTGATTATTTTAAATAAATGTACTAAACCCATCCTAATGCATTATAAATAGTACCTAACGAAAACTGACCGTACGATATACGATAAACGGGAATCCTCTTAGGTCAATTAGGAACCGGATCCCATCCAGATCCACCAAAACTGAGCCCACTAATCAATGAATTCGGACCGTTAACTTTTAAGGAGCTCCCTATTTGTAGCTGTTTGATCAAATTTTAACGGTCTGAATTTATTGATTAGTGAGCCCAGTTTTAAAAGATCTGAAGGGGATCCGGTTTCGTCAATTAGAACCTTCAACATGCTTTAATGATTCGTACAACTGTAAAGTGCCCTAATTTCTTTCCCCAAATGACGCAAATGTTCATCTCCCACACGTCATCAAATATCCTATCAGCTTCAACTGCCATCTCTTTTGCGCACAATTCCTGGACCAATCCCAAAATGCTATCCAAATCAAACACTAAGTGCAAAAGTAACACACTGCTTTAGCCAACTGACCTAACTCACGTTTGTCGCAACGTAACAAAAATGTGGATACCACACCAGAATTTTGACACCAACTTATCAACTAATGCGATTATAAATATACAAGTTTTTAGCTTTCATTGGATTCAAATGAGTGTTACTACGTATCTTACATTTTACGATGTTGGTGATCACATTCATAATTCATCAGTCAATAGCTGCAACGAGCAAACTTAGTACGATCAAATTGTTCTTGGGGGACAGAATCCGCTAGGCGGCCGGAGCATAGCGACGTCAACAGCTTTCGGAGCGATTCGAAGCAAATGGTTAGACCAGGCCATGAGGTGCAACTGAACTGTGTCCATCTGATCAAGCGGCGAGTGGAGTTTCTATTTAATTTCGGAGTGATCACAACAATGTATGAGCCCGGTGGAGCTGACATGTGAAGGCATCAAGCTCTTGCCTTCTAACCTAGATATCACAAGCTGGTATCCACTTGCATATGCTTCCTCATGAAGGATGCCGAGCCCCGATCGATCTGAGGCTGAGCCTTTCACTACCGAGTGTATGTAATTCAAGCCCTGCATTTATTTTTGAGCATAAAATTGTAACGTTCATGTGCATTAAACAGTGTTCGTATGTTATATATGTTCGTGTGACAGAATTCGCGACAATGTCTAACCTCTTCAGTTCGTTTAATGTCCAATCCAAACCACGCATCGTCTGGTTCAGGTATCATTTCAATCAGCATTTCTGCAACTCCAGGCATAAACCAAAGTCTTATACCTTGCGCGATTTGGACCGTCCTTGTGTGGTTTTGTTGCTGCTTATTCGAAATCATTTCCTTTCCTAATAAATTATTTTTGTCCTTCAACAATAAGAAAATGAAAATTAATCGAACCGATTAAGAACGGGTTGCTAGCTAGAAATTCAGCATGAGTGAAAGAGAGACTGATATTATACCGACTACAAGATCTGTTCTGTTTGGATGTTAACAAAAATTAGCGGAGCTCCGAAAGCAACTGCTGCAGTAAACCAAGCCATGCAACGGTCTGTTGTGGCCTCGGTGCAGTACTCACCCGGCAGCGGCATGAACAGAATGGAGCTAACGATCGTGCACCGTTGATCGGGCAAGTAGCTGTCGACTTTCATCTTCCAGTCATACTTTAACTCCCCTTTTGTTGTGTCCCCCGTATTCCACGTTCACCAAACTCCTGCTCATTTCTGCAAAATCACATAAACATCAATGAACGAAAGGTCAGGTCACCGGGTAAAAAATTTCGTAACTCATGAATGAATGTACTATCCTTATTTGAACAGTGTGACCAGTTATGTTATCAGATTGTGAATCAGAACCGTAAATTATGAGGAATTAAAACAGTATATGCAGATCTGATTCATAGTATGACGGTGTGTTTTATGTGATTGAATCATAATCGTTGATTACGTGGAATGAAAATAAAATATGCTATCTTAATTAGCAGTAAAACAATACAACACGTCAGATATCTTATAAGAGGTTACAGTACCAACATAGACTAGAATCTGGCGAAGAAAAATGTACCTTGCAGCTCAGTGCATTGATCCGAGGTCAAGTCGTCCAAAACTGCAACATGTCTATCATCTCTAGCCGCTTTGATCGTATACTTTTTCTGAAGCATCGAAGGCCTCTCAGCCACGCGCGTTCGGAGCTTGAGAGTGCTTTCACCCCTCCTCACCTTCACCAAATCACCTCTACATTGCTGAACCTAGCAAGCTGCGACGTAAGCTCAGCCTTGGCTTTCATAGGCACGAAAAACTCGTCACCAATATTGTCACTGCTCTCGGAATTATAAACTCCTTCAAAGATGTCTCTGGGCAATGGCATGCTCGTCCCACTCTTCCGACTCCTCTTGCTTCACTTGCTTGACGCAACCCAGTGTCGTTGCAACACCGGCCATAATATTCCTCTTCAAAGTGCAGAAGCAGCTTCCCATTATCTTATCGAATGAATTTCGATGAAGACATAGTTCATGGAGATCTTAGGAATCTCCATCCATGTTTGAACATTCCAACGTTAATTTTCGGATCCTCCGCCTAGTCACATTGAGGCACATTGTCATCCTTCTGGGGGTGTATTTATGTTAATATATAGCGATGATGTGTAGAAAGCCGGCTGGCCGTTTTAGATAGGATTTTATGTAAAAAAATACATTAGGAACCATAAATTAAGAGCAAAACAAAAATTGGTATAATTAATCCATCATTAAAGTCAAACATCTGCAAATGTATGGTGATTTCCTGTTTCAAAATTGGATGGACTACTCTCAAGTACAAAATTGGCTGGCAACATCCCAACTAGGTCATCCGTGAGCACCTCTCAGAAAAAGAAGAAAAAAAAAATATTGAACTCTCTATATTTTGGTCTCACCCTACTCCACGCTGATCCAAAACTAGGGAAGAATATATGTACTTTATTCACACTATGGTACAAGTTCGGTTCTTTTTCTTTCAAGCCTAGAGATTTCAGCTTCAGCATGAACCCTTGTGTTTGCATCGTCGGAATCTAAACTCGGTCTGATCCTCAAAATCTGCCTGTTGATGCTTCGAATCTGCATGTGTGATAAAAAAAATTGAAAGGGTAAGGAAGATAAAACACAAAAATAAAAAATGGTTCTATGAAGGACTTTATAGAGGACAGACCTTTCTTGAGGGCCATCTATTTAATCCGCTTCGGCGGCATATCCTTTTCACAACAGTTGGGCAAACCTTCAATCTCCTAGCAGCTTTTTCGATTGGAAGATGGAAGTAATCGCGAAGATCGTCCAATGTCATGCTTGCTGTTCTCTCCCTCTGCACTACTTCCACAGCATTACACAAAGAAAAGTGTTAATAAAATGTACTTATTATCTTATTTTAGCTAAAAGTTGGGTTTAGGGTTTAGGATTGAAAGAATGGCTAACAACAACCTGTGCTGCAAGGGAAATCCTCTCGTTCTCATCCTCGGCCGCATGTGGTTGATCATCAGCGGGTTGTTGTTGTTCCACTTCACCGACTCTTCCTGAAATTGACCAAAAAAAAAAAAAAGAACTCAAGTAACCAACATATGAACATTAAATGTTCCCAATGATAGAAGTTCACGAGGAAAACCAAACACACGAACCTGAATTTGGAGGAGACTGGTGGGAAGGTGAAGTCATCGGTGTTTAGAATGTCATCCCACTCGAGTCCAATGCAGAGGGCCTCGTAAAAGACTGCCATTGGATCTTGCTGCAGAATGTAGCCCTCTAGCTTTCTCTCTAGGCAGTACTGCATCAGAAATTGCTTCACCTCTTCTATGCTTTTCTTGCAAAAACTAATTTCCGAAACCAAAAAAATATTTAGTCTTCTCGTTAAACGAATCAAACACTTCGAATTGAGAGGGGTCGAAAAAACTTACTCAAACATTTGATACTGATGATTGTCGAAGAATTCACATCGACACTGTAAAGAATTGCATGACTGATCATACCGAACCTTCCATGAATGTCAAGTTTCATGACATGGTTGCCTTTGCACACAAGTTGAAAATAAAAAATCAATACCCTAATCACCACTTAAACCGAATAGTACCCACTAAACCAATACTAATTTACAAGAAAAATGAACGTAAAACTTACCATTTAAGTGTATGATTTCCCTAAGCAGTTGGCAACAACTGCAATTAAATGGAACTGGTGTCGCAGACCAAACTGAAAGTGGCCTCGGATCACCAAAACCCTGATTCTGCTCATTGTTGTCCCCTCTGGGAGGATTAGAGCCTCTCGATTCTCTGATAAACTGAGAGGGACTGGCTTGCGAAACAAAGTTTCCTCCGCCATTACTACACTGATAGAGAAAATCCCATGTCGCTTGATCCAACAAAGGGTCGCTCAAATCTTGGATTCCTTCATCAAACAGAGGAATTGGTTTAGTTGGGCAAGCGAGTCCCTCATCGTCCAATGGCGGTAACGGTAAGCTTTCATCGAGGATCGGTGTTCAGAATCGTACAGAAAGTTCATAATATCGGACACGGGCCGTTATCGTACGGGTCATGGTACGGTACAACAGCCCTGGGATCTGCCATGCATAAAAAATATTATTATCTACAAAAAAACTACACAAGTCTCTGAAATTTCAAAGTGAAAAATTTCTTCGGATTCTTTTTTCTTCGTTTATTTTTGTTTGACTTTTGCAAGTTTCGTAAACTCAAACCGAATCGGAGGGTCTTGAGCACCAAATTTTTGGTGCTCGAGAGAAATTGAAACAGGTTTTTTTGTTCTTAATTGGAGGTGAAAGTTTTGAGAGGAAGCAAAGAAATTGAGGACCAAGGCGCGAGTGACAGTTAATTACCGTTTGGACAAGAATCGGTTGGGATTTTTGAAAGGTGTTGAGGATGCGATCCGGTGCTATGCGTTCATTTGTAACGATCATATTCCTTCGTTCTAAAGGGGTTTCCAGTGCAAGTGTGC